AGTAGTTCTCCACTAGGCGCTTGTAGGAATTGATCGTAGGTGCGAACAGGGGCATGATATCCGGCAAAGCCTCAAGAAGGCCGGCGAGGAATTGTCGGCCCATGTCTGACAGACTGGCTGCATCAGACCAGGGGGCATTGGGATCAGGCGTGTCTCTGGCAAACATGTTCTTCCCCTCGAGATCGCAGAGGGAGATGTGGATGTGGCCAGAACTGCCGGGTTGGCCGTACATGGGCTTTGCCATGAAGCAGGGGGTGATTCCGTGCTCGATTCCGATGGATTTTGCCAGAAGTCTAGCAAGTTAGCAAGATGCTGTCTGTGGCGAGCGGCGCCGACGACGACTTACTTGAACAGGGACACACGGTCTGCCATTTCGGTAATGCTACACACTTTGAGGGCCTGTACTGATTAGCAAAGCTTCCTGTCATAGAAGTGTAGTTTACTAACCGCTTCGTAGACACCTGGCCCTCCCTCCGTATGCCACCCCTCAATCCCACAGTTGAACTGCGCACTGGTATTGAAGATATCCCAAAAGTACTTCTTGAAGGCTACCGGCCGTGTCGCGCTGTATGAGAAACTGCCCGCAGTCATCGGACGAAGGGCACTGGGTGCATTCTTTTCCAAAAAGGCAGCGATATCGCGTGTCTGCGACCCATTGGCGTATCCGTCTTGTGAGGGTGTCTGGAAGTTCATAAATTCGAGTTCAACTACACAAATTAGCTGACATACTCGGTCTGAGACCAAAAAACTTACCTCCAGCCATGGCCTGGCATTTCGCCTCCGCAAGCTTGTCCGTTATCGATCTCAACATGCTCCGACCGTCTGCAGTGACTGGCTTGTCGTTCTGAACGAAGCGCACCAGGAAGAAAGGGATGTTGTCTTCCCATGGTATCCGTCGGTAGGAGCTGAGATCTGGCACCGCGATGAAATCCACATATCCTGATTCGGGAGGTGCGATCTTTGCATCTGTAGTGTAGAGCACATCCTGCATATCCCATCCAAACACTGCGGAGCTGAAGCCAAAGCCCTTCTGCGCGATGCCGAGGAACTTCTCCTTGGCCATCACCTTTCCGCGCAGGATGCCATCGCAGTCAATGCCAGCGACTTTGACGCTGATGTCATGCTCAAGAAGGCGAGGAAGATCCTCTACTGTGATTGTATCCTGTGACATGTTTATGATAGTATGAGCTCAAATACAAGAGGAAATATGACTGAAATGAGCAAAAGGTCTTCAAGAGCTTCTTAAAAGACGCACCAACATCGATGCTATTGTGGAGCTTGCTGCACACGCCGCACTGCTCCAGCAGCTTGGGCCTCAGTTTCGCGAAAAGCAGCCATTGGCCAATGGAATTACCCGCGACGATGCAATTCAAGCAAGATCTTCATCACACTTGCAACTTGTGGGGGAGCTCAATAGTAACCGCGGGGCCATAGCAATAATGGGGGACCGCGCTGGGTGAGTGAGGGGAAAGGCGATAAAGAGACCGCGCTTATCGATAAGGGTTGGGGAATCAACATTCCAGCTGCGTACTATTATTACCAACTCGATAGCATCTATCAATGATCGCAGCTCAGAAAGAATCATCTACTATCTCTAGAAGCATCGATTTAAGGTATTCATCATGACTCGCCTTCTTCGTGCAGCAATCCTCGAGTGCGACACCCCCATCCAGCCCGTCAAAGACCGCTACGGGACTTATGGAGACCTTTTCGAGAATCTCCTCAAAACAGGTCTGAAAGCACAGGGACTTGACTCGCAGGTGGACTTGCAAATCACCAAATGGGATGTGGTGAACGACTCCGTCTTTCCCAAACCCGATGACTGTGATGCGATACTCTTGACCGGAAGCAGTACGTTTTCTAGGGGAAATCACTGCAACAACAGCTGACAGGGTTGCAGAACATGATGCCTTTGCAGACGAGCCGTGGATTATCGAATTGACAAACTATGTTCGAGACGTATACGAAAAACACAAGAAGCCTATCATTGGGATATGTTTCGGTCATCAGATCATTGCGCGTGCGCTAGGAGCCCGCGTGGGTCGCAGCGACAGAGGATGGGAGATTGCAGTGGAACCGATTATACTGACTGATATTGGGAGGGTGCTTTTCTCAAAGAATGTTCTGGTGAGTTCGAGATTCGATACTCCGAATATGGGACATTTGCTGACTGGTTTGGGATAGTCCCTGCATCAGATGCACCGCGATATCGCGTACCAAGTTCCAGAGGGTTGTGTTAATTTAGGGTCGAGTTCCATCTGCGAGATACAAGGGCTCTACAGCGCTGGAAGGATTTTTAGCGTCCAAGGCCATCCGGAGTATGATGAGTTTGTGGTCAGCAAGCTGATTGAGACGCGGCATGCCATGGGCATTTTGGATGACCAGCTGTCCCAGGACGGTTTATCGCGAGCTGGAAAACCGCATGATGGATCGGTTGTCGGGGAGGCGATTTGCAAGTTCCTTCTTGATGATCCTGTAGTCAATCATGTATAGCAGAGTGATTGGATAGGGAAAAGGTGTTTGAGCTTTCAACCATGAATTTGACCTCGTAACTGATCCAAAGTATCCACAGCATGAGAATAGGTAGGAGAAGAGTAAACAATATCCCCACACATTTACCGCGCTCTCCAATATTCCCCACAGCGCTATCAAGACCGCGCCGACGATAACGAAGTATGCGAGAGGACATAATTACTCTTATCAACAGGACATTCCGTATAATAAGTGAACAGTCGAATCAATTGTGATAGAATCCAGCATCACATATTCTTACACCACCAATCCATCCAAAATGGCCAACCAGATTCGCACCCTATCTCCCTCCACGAACGAAGTCATCTTCGAACGCCAGGGAACCTCTCTGGAAGAGGCCCGCGCAATTGCACAGGCATCTGAGGAAGCATTCAAATCATACAAGAAGACCACTCTGTCTGAGCGCAAAAGCATCATCATCAAAGCCCTAGATTCGATCGGCGCGAACATCGACACTCTGAGCAATGAGCTCACCACGCAGATGGGCCGTCCGATTGCCTATAGTGAAAAAGAGATCGAGACCATGCGCAAACGCGCCGATTACCTCCTATCTATTGCGGACGATAGCATGCGCGAGCACCCAGGACAGCCAGAGAAGGGATTCAGACGCAGCGTGAAGAAGGATCCGGTTGGACCGACATTGATCGCGACAGCGTGGAATGTACGTTCCGTCTCCAGGAGATCACCTCGCTCAACCCTATCTAACAAGCACAGTACCCGTACCTCATCACGATCAATACGCTCGTCCCAGCCCTCCTGGCCGGAAACACAGTCATCCTCCGTCCCTCTCCGCAAACGCCCCTCATCGGCGAGCGCCTCCTCACCTACTTCACCCAAGCCGGCCTCCCACGCAACGTCCTCCAACTCATCCACGTCGGCTCCCTCGACGTCCTCGACGAGATCGTCAAACTGCCCCAAATCAAACTCGTCTCGTTCACCGGCTCCACAGCAGGCGGCGTGCGCATCCGCGAAGCAACCGCCCGCCGCATCGTCCCCGTGAACCTTGAACTAGGCGGCAAGGACCCGGCGTACGTCCGCGCCGACGCAGACATCCCCTACGTCGCGGCGCAGATCGTCGACGGCGCCGTCTTCAACTCGGGACAGAGCTGTTGCTCCATTGAACGGGTCTATGTCCACGCGGACGTCCACGATGCCTTTATCGCGGAGGTGCAGAAAGAGCTCAAGACGTAAGCCCCGACCTCGTCCAGCCTCCTCTCACTCTTATGTCCCCACAGAAAAACTGTAAACTGACACCTGCAACGCAAAACTAGGTACAAACTCGGCGATCCCACCGATAAGTCCACAACCACGGGCCCCGTCATCTCCCGCCACGCTGTGAAAACCATCCAGTCGCACATCGACGACGCACTCTCCAAGGGTGCCATCAACGCCACTCCTTCCAATGAATCCTTCCGTTCCGTCCCCTCGCAGAACCCACAGGGAAACTACATCGCCCCCACGGTGCTCACAAACGTCACGCACGACATGACCGTCATGAAAGACGAGACCTTCGGCCCCGTGCTCCCCATCATGAAGGTCTCCAGCGACGAGGAGGCGGTCGCGCTCATGAACGATAGCGAGTACGGGCTGACGGCTAGCGTGTGGACGAAGGACATCGCGCGCGGCGAGGAGTTGATTGCGGAGATTGAAGCTGGGACGGTGTTTATCAACCGGTGTGATTATCCGAGTCCGGTACGTACATTGCATTCCCTGCGGCTTTCCGAGGATTTACGGAGTGCTAATAAGGCCATAGGACCTTGCGTGGGTTGGGTGGAAGAACTCTGGGTTGGGATGTACACTTGGTCCGCATGCGTTTGATGGGTTCTATAGATTGAAGAGCTATCACATCAAGGAGGAGCAGGCTTAGCTTACCTTAGTTAAATGCTGGACTGTATATACTAGTATGAATGTGCTTCGGACCTCGTTAATTTGCTCCCTACAAACGTATACCAGTATACTCATCATCAATCTTGCTTCAAAGTAGTGGACTCTAAGCCACGAACATAGCAACTATACATTGTCAATCATCTCAATCATCGTCCAGTGCTACTATTGCGCGGCTTGCACCCTCTATCTATTCTACAAAAAAAATAACCGCGCCCAACTTTCCATCTACCCCACCCGCGGTCCTTTACCGCGCCGCGGGGCTACCTGCTACCCCACTACCCTTATCAGCTACCATATCAGTTGGGCGCGCGTGACCTCACAGCGCTCCGCTTATCGTCAGGGCCGCTCCACGTGTCCTCGCAATATCATGTAATGGAAACAAGAGCTGAAGAGTATGCGACAAAAGTGGAGAGATGAACTCACCGCGCAGCTATTGTGGAACTGAGCGGGAACCGACCTCGGCCTGGATAGATTGGGTATAAAGATCGTAGAATCCTGGATTGTTTGTGATTATACTAGACAGGTATTTCTGATCGAGTGGTTGATAGGTATACAAAGACTAGTACATTAATTCAGACACAATGGTTGGAAGACTCGCTGGAAAGAACGCCGTTGTCACCGGCGCTGCTGGGTATGTTTTTCAAGTTCCTTATCTTTGCTTTCCAGCTCCAGCGAAAGAGGATGGCGGCCAAGCTGACGTGGAATAGTGGTATCGGGCTTGAAACTACGATCCTCATGCTCCGCGAGGGCGCCTCCGTCCTTATGACCGATATCTCGGCGCAAGGCCTCGAAAGGGCCATTGCCAAGGTTCACGAGGTCGTGCCACAGCACGACGGCCGGGTGGAATACCGTGTCGTCGACGTGTCCAAAGAGTCCGAGGTGGAGGCCGCGGTGGCACATCTCGATTCCTGGGGCGGTCTGGACGTGATGTTCAACAATGCGGGGATCATGCATCCCAAGGATGGAGATTCAGAGGAGACGCCAGAGGCTATCTGGGACTTGACGATGAATATCAACGTCAAGGGTGTGTGGTACGGCTCGAAACACGCGGTCAAGAGCTTGCGCAGACACGGCAAGAAGAAGGGCAGTATCATCAACACCGCTAGTATGGTTGCCCTGGTTGGCGCGGCTACGCCTCAGCTTGCGTACACCGCCAGCAAGGGTGCTGTGCTTGCCATGACTCGTGAACTGGCCATCGTCCACGCTCGTGAGGGATTCCGTTTCAACTCGCTGTGCCCGGCCCCTCTCAAGTATGTCAATCTGATTCCATGATCGCGGATAAAAGCTAACGATATCAGCACCCCGCTCCTGCAGGATTGGCTCGGAGACGACAAGGAGAAGCGATTCCGGCGCGAGGTTCATTTCCCCTCCGGCCGGTTCGGTGAGGCGATCGAGCAGGCTCATGCCGTCATCTTCCTGGCCAGCGACGAAAGCAGCTTCGTCAATGCCGCAGACTTCGTAGTGGACGGCGGCTTGACCAAGGCTTATGTGACCCCTGAGGGTCCTGCCACGGAAGCGCCTAAGAACCTGGGCTCGTAAGCAGGAATGCGGGGGCTCGCCAATTGTATTGGTGGGTGGATGCAATGAGTGATGACTGTAAATTAGCCAATTGAAATACTATCGCGTTACCCGTTACGCAAACGAGATCCAGATTTGATGTTGCTGCATAGCCCGACAGATATTCCATGGTCCTGCATGCTCCAGAGGCACCTGCCACATATGTTCCAGCAAAAGTAGGGTCCGTTGCATATTCCCGAGACCAAAGGTATTTACCATTGTATGCAGGCGCTGACGTAGAGAATTCTGTTGATCAATGTCAGACAGACATGACCCCACAACAGCAATAGGCCAGCAGAGCCCTGAGTTGATACGAGCAGTAGCTGAAAGTTGATGCAAGTAAGACATCGCGTCTATGATCGCAGCATCAATAAGGCCTTGATATATCCCCTGCTCGGACCGCGAGAACGCCCCCAGCGAGGTATATAGATATAGTAGCATCGCTTGCTGGAAGATTCGTCCTGCCAGGAATACGTCGGGAGTTACCGAAGGATAAGGTGCCCAGCGTAAGATTTGTGCTTGCAAAGAGCCAAACATGGCAATGTCGTCCGCAGTCGGAAGACCCGGCTGGCCATCTTCCATCATCCATTGCCGTCCCAAATCAAAGATACACGGGATCATCAGTAGCAGTTCAAGCCAGCAGCCGCAGAGATTACCGATATATTCCGATTCTAACAGCTGGCGCGCTCGCTGCTCTAGGTCAAAGTTCAGGAAGAGTTGACGGCTGACCCGCGCGTCGATTGATATCATGCTCACTGTCGCGGTATAGGTATAGTACTCAATGACAAAATTTTTGAGGTCTTTCGGGACCGCGGTGTCGCTCTGGGTAAGCAGGCGGATAAGCAATGAATTCGCGGCAGACAGGTGGTCAAATATGGTCCCATTCATGTCTCCTCTGGCGGTCTAAGCCTCGTCAGTCACTTTCCTTCGTATCGCTTGGGGTAACCCACCTCGGTAAAACACATCAACAAAGCTCCAACCGTGAGCATAAGTGGATTTGACTCCTTCCCATCAATAAAATCCGTAACACCCTTGCGAAACAACTGCAGCGCCTTGGTGTAGTGACTCTGAGCAACCTCATCTGAGTCATTGCGGCAACGGAACGCTCGATGAGCTGCACTCTGCGTCAGAACCAGCTGCAGCAGAAGGTCACTGGTGAACGCCAGCGGAACGATTTGGACCAGGAACGGGTTCACCGGAGTCGATCCATTAGCCATGCAGTCGGCAGTAGTAGCCAAGTAATGACTCAATAACTGGAAGGACTCCGGACTATACCCAGGGAGCATCGACAGACTACGCGGCATTACATCTCCAATCGAGCCCTGGCTATTGCTTCTAGGATGGTGAGAATAGCCCATGGGCACTAGAGACGCAGCATCAAATTCTGCCAGCTCAAGCGTTTCTGCGGGAGGTGCAGCTGGTACGCTCACTGACTGCGCAGGTGAGGTCGGAGAAACAGCAGGCGAGAAGGGCGAATGCGACGAGGCACCATGTGAGATTGAGCTTCGAACGGATTGTGGGCTGCCGTGTTGACGGATAATATCCTCCTCGTCCATCTGACCACTTCCGCGTGAGTGATGATCAGTCTGCGCCAGTATCGCATCCCTGTCATTTTCAACAGGTCTTGATGATACGTGAGCAGGCCAGTGACAGCTGAGTTTGTTTCGTGTGCATCCGCCACAGACGGGCCGATTTTCATCACATTTCTTCTTCCGACGTCTGCATGTCCAGCAGCCGGTTCGCACACGAACGATCGGCTCTGTGCGTGGGCGTTTATTGAGCGGCATCAGGGCCTAGAAGGTGGAGAGCAACACCAAACAAATGTCTTTAGCGTCAAGTCCGGAAGTGAGGAAGGGGAATTTGCGGGGAAACGGGACTCTGTCGCTGATAAGCATAGGGAGATGAGATGGGCTAGTGCTAGATGGGGCAATATGTGGGGCATAGTCTGGCCGTCGCCTGATGAGTTCCCGTCAACTGGTCAAGGAGCGGATGACGACGCGCTCTGTACTCTGCTAACAGAACAACAAGTTGATATGTCTGTTTAATCTTAGCTTTGAGTCCATTTTAACTACAACCAAATCATTATATCTACAGTATTCATCCGGGTTGTTTCTAGCAAGTGAGGATTATATACATGTGCCTGGCTCAAAGGCAAACCCTTCTTGAAATATATTTACTGGGTGATGCGAGTCTCAACGTGGCCGTTCTTCTGTAAAGGTTTCGTTAGTACTTTTCCGATACTGAGTAATCGAGACGACTTACCAGCTTGCGAGTGTACTTGACACCAACGTTGGTCTTGCTAGCCGCATCGTAAGGGACAGGGCTGGTGTAGTTGTAGGTAGGAGCAAAGTCCTTGTAGGTCTGGTGAACAGCCTTCAGGATGCCGTGACCAGCAGAGCATGATCCCTTGGTCAGGGGAACGGGCCAGTTCGGCGAGTGATTGCTAGTGGAGAGGGGACCGGGGTAGCTGTGGTTGAGGTAGAGGTTGCTGGTATCAACTTCCCAGTTGACGTAGCCGGTCTTCTCGGCAACCAAGTTGAGCAGGTTGGCACCGCAGTCCCAGCGACCAAGGGAGGGCAGACCCCAGTTGGCAGACAGTGAAGCGATCACGGAGTAATGGTTGTAGTAGGTGTTGTCCACCTTGCCAGTCAGGTTCTTGGGGACAGCACCACCAAGCAAAATGCTGTAGATCTTGTTACCAATCTTGTAGGTCGAGTTCTCATCAAAAGTGAGGAGGATCAGAGTGTCCTTGGTGAAGTACTCGTTCTCAAGAAGCGCAGACAGGAAGTTCCAGGACCAGTTCCCGGCAAAGGTAATGTTGGTGTCGTGAGCATCGTTGGTCATGTTAGGGGTGATGAACATGTGCTGGGGGAGACGGTGGTTCTTCAGATCATCATAGAAGCTGGTAAAGTTCTTGATCTGACGGAGTCGGGTAGCATCCTGAGTGATAGAGTTGAACAGGATCGCAGGGTTGTGCTTGCGCACGTAATCATTGGGGCCGGACTCGGGGTACCGGAAGCCCTGGTACCCAGGGTAGGGCAGGTGCTCCTGATATTCTCCCCAGGCGATATTCTTGGTGTCGAACAAGTCGGCAATCGTAGAGACGTTAGCAGGGACCTGGAGGAAGTTATCGTTGTCCATGCCGAAGGTATCACCACCCGCGGCAGCGCAGTAATTGGGCTCCGAGGGGTGAGTAACGGCCCAAAAGTTGGTCAAAAGAAGACCCTTCTTGGCCAGGGCAGACATGTGAGCATCAGCGGCAGCTTTGTCATAATCCTGCGATTTTGACCTGGTTAGTGTAGTTCTGGCAACAAGTTCAGCAGTGCGTCACATACGGTATTCTCCAACCAGATGTTGACAAAGCGGTTGAAGGCAAGACCCTGGACATTGGAGACTGGGGAGTGAGGCTGAACAGTAGCCTGAGCGGCTTCAATCTCCGCGGCAGAAGGATATTGCTCAGAGGAAGTCTGAGCCAGAGCGACCGACAGGCCTCCAAGGAGGGTCACGAGAGACTTCTTAGTGAACATAGTGCCCGACTGTCTCTGTAGGAGATCTGGGAGAAATTGGAATTCGATCGCGGGAGTCTAGTGTATTGCCTCGAGCTGAGGCCAACAGAATCTTTATATACCCATGAATGCTCCTGCTGGGATCATAGGGTCCATCAAAGTCAACCGATCAAAATCGATGGAGTGTTGCATACACTAGAAACGTCATTGGTCCATCTGCAGGGCCGAACCTGCAGGGGGACATTCCGCCAGAAAGTGGTTATTTTCGAGAATTCTTTCGTAGTCCCGAAGCTGTCAGTGCGTTCTCTACCATTTCTGTCGATGACAATCTCCCGGAACGACTGCACGTTGCGGCCACATTATCAGCGACTGGACATACAAGATGACGCTAGTAACGGGGTGGAATTGGAGATTTGGAGCCAGATACGTAGTCCCACTCGGGAGCGCACGTGCTGTGGTTGGCATCAACCAACGGTGCCTTCATCCTTCCATGACCATGGACCATTCTACGCGGCAATTCATCGTGCCAATAACCACTTGCAGCTTAGCGAGGTTCGCTAAACATAGGTACCGAGTTGAGGTTGTCCTTTGCAATCAGCACTCCAAGCTTTCCAAGCTTTGCTGAGAAATTCTTGTTTTGCATCGCTTATGTCGGCATCATGGTTAGCGTCGGCTTGGAACACGAAGGACCGATTGCCTACTGCATATTAACCACCAGGAGATGTGATATTCATGCACGGAGCATATTGGTGTCATGGTGGTTTGTGAACCTGGAAGGCTCGCGTCTCATGCATCGTTGAGTTATCGTTCACTTTGCGGCAGAGATGGCCCACAGCGAGGATAAAGCTCCTAAGATCCACCGTACCTGGCATATCTGACTGATAAGAAAGCATACCATGGTGCTTACGAGTTTGATGAGATTGTAAATGTAATTTCGGTCAAATAGTCCAGGGATTACTGAACCGATGAGGGGCTGAACCGTTCAGTCGCTACGTTTTAGGGACGTTGGCGAAATCAAGTTGATAATTAGATTCTATCATCAAAGTCGTTGCATATATTGCGACAGATCTATCTACACCCCATGCATGACAACGTAGATCATTTTCAACCGCTAGAAACTCACAAACAAAGCACGGTCTATAATCGAGCCAATCATCTAAGCGAAAAACTTGGCCTCGCCGTCCTTGAGCTTGCCGGCGTCGACCAGTCTCTTAACCTCCTCGGCCCACACGCCCTTGACGGCGGCGGCGTCCTTGCCAGCAGCAGTGAGGCGCTCGGCCAGAGCGGCGAGCTCCTCACTATCGATCTTGCCCATGACGAGGTCGACATCAGTCAGGACAGAGTCGACCTGAGCGGCAGAAGGCTCGCCAGACTCGGCAAAGTAGTTGACATCCTTGACAGAGCCCTTGAGAATACGCTTGTTCTTCTTAGAAGCGTTCTTGGCAGCTTCCTTGGCCTTCTTGTTCTTTTCACGCTCGGCCTTGGCGGCCTCTTCAGCGTCCTTCTTGCGCTGCTCCTCCTCGAGACGAGCCTTCTCCTTCTCCTCAGCCAGACGCTTGGCCTCGGCCTCCTTCTCGAGACGCTTCTTGTCCTTGCCAGCCCGGGCCTGCTGCCGGAACTTCTTGATTCTCTCATCCTGAGCAAGGCAGTCGTCAACTAGGTGACGCAGACGGGCGATATCCTCGGACTTGCGCTTGCGGCGGGCGTTGGCGTTCTTCTTCTCAACGTGACGCTTCTGGTCACGATTCTCATTGTCATCGGGAACGTCCTCATCCAGGTACTCAAATGTACGCCAACTGTCAAAGTTGTACCAGAAGTTGTAGAAGGTTTCGACCTCCTCCTGAGTGCTGTTCTCGTCACCGAGCTGAGGGACAGGCTGGACCTTGGAGAAACGGCCTTCAGCCTCAAAGACAGGGCCCCAGGCCTTGTAGAAACCGCGCTTGGCAATATCCTTCTTGGATGGGGGGTCAACATCAGCCGCCTCATCGACGGAGTCGAACTGACGACGCTTGACGGGGTCAGTCAGCAACTCGTGGGCCTTCTGGATACACTTGAAGAAGTTGTCGTTCTCGTCGCGGTCTCCCAGGGCAGCCTTCTTGTCGGGGTGGTGGCGGAGGACCTTCTTGCGGTGGGCGCGCTTGATCTGCTCGGGGGTAGCACGCCAGCGGTACTTGGTCAGACCGAGGACAGCGTAGTGATCTTGGGCCTGTAGAGGTCAATATCCGTCTTAAGAGTGAGATAAAATATGAATGAACGAACCTTCCAGTCCTTAGCATCTCTGGACAGCATCATGGGGTCCTCAGGCTCGGAGATCTCGTCATCGTCATCATCCTCAGTCTTCTTGACGGTCTGCTGGGCCTGGATTCTTTCGTCCTCGGAGAAAGTACGGTGGTGACGCTTCTATAGACTTGTTAGCTTGTGCCCGATCGAACAAAAACCTGCAGAAATAATATGATGGCGCTTACTCTGCGAGCATGGGCCAAGAAGTGAGGGCCGACGGGCTCCAGGTTTCTCTGTGTGGTGGCAGACGGAGTGCCAACGGCCGTGAAATCCTTCTCGGCACTCCAGCCCTGAGGAAGGGCCGGGAGAGTAACATTAATGACCTGAGACACCATTGTGATGATTCGAAGAGGAGATATATCCGTAACTTCGAAAAAGGAAGAGGGTGAAAGATGAGGTCTAAAGTTGTGTGCCGCTAGACGATCGACGACAAAAAATGCAAGGCAGTTTTATTTTTTCTGCCCCGACTTCCCGCTCACGCCTGGACCAATGGACAAGCGGGAGTTTCGGAGGTCAATGGATCGAAGATAGATGTTCGAAGACTAGGACGTCAATTTCACCTTTTGAGTTACTTTCATTTAGTCTCTCTCTGAAGCACTTGATACTGGTCTCCTTGAAAGAAGACCGTTTCTCTATTGTCTCAAGAACGAACCGAAGAACGGACGTGATACGAAGCGCCACATCATTGTCAGAGAGAAGATCGATCTACCTTGAATACTTTGCTAATCGCTCTGAAATCTGAAATCATGGCCTCGCAAACCGCAGTCTCAGCGCGCAGCGCCTACCGACAGATCCTCCGTGCCACCCGTATTGCTTTCCAAGGTCAGCCATCCAGCTGCAGTGGCTCGCATCCTTCGACTAACCATTCTCATAGACGACTTCCGTGTCCTGGTCGCTGCTCGCCAGGAAGCCCGTCGCCAGTTTGACGAACACCGCCGCGAGGGGATTGACACGCCAATGCAGATTAATCATGCGAAAGAGGTGGCCACCATTCTACGACACAACATTGTACAGGGCGTAAGGGATAGTAAAGACGAGAATGCCAAATGGGGTGCGTATTGCCCCTGATTGATGCGTTTGCTGCTGCATGGCGTACTTGAACCTGAATATTTACGCTGCATTGTGTGCTAACATCTAATCTTATATAGAGCTCCGCATTCACGACGATATCGAGCGTGGAGACAATGACTCAATCAGGGTTGCTGGGAAGAAGGTCAAGGTTGATAAGCCGTGCTCCGCATGATCGGGCCGACAGCGAACATCTTGAGGGGACTGGATATTGTGCTATCATATTTGGATGGAAGGATAATAGCACAAAACTTGCATTTGCAATTTGTATTATAGTATACCCATGCTTTCCTCACCTCCTGGCGTCTCTTGGGGTATTTTTCTCGAAGTTAGAATGCATAGCAAACAACGCCCGCTTGAACAAATGTACAATGCCTTTTGACCAGCTCGCGATACAATGACTCCAAAAATCGAAATTGGGAAGACAATGTTCAATCGCCCGATAAGCTCGAGTACTGGACCTCCCCACTACCTGGGGGTGGTGCCACAAGCAAGCTGCGTGGCTTCTCTGTCGTAGGTTCACCAGCAGCTGTGATTGCTCTCTGTCCTGACTCTCCACCCTTTTGTGCCTGGGCCGTCATGCGACCCTCACGAGCATTCTTCATCCGCTCCTCCCTGTCAATGTTGTCCAGAGGCTTGGGCTTACCCCACCGCACCCGCAGCGGACATCCCTGAATAACGGCCTTGCCTTGGCAATGCTGTGCAGCGGCTTCTGCGCCCTCTCGAGTCGCAAAGTTGATGAAAGCACAATGAGCGCGGTGTGAACAGATCAAAGACCGCAGCTGACCGAACTGTGTGAAGAATGTTCGGAGTGTGTGTTCCGGAAGGTCGTCCTCAACACCGGTCACGAACAGGGATGTGATATTCGGGTCCGCAGGAGGCAGGTAATCTTCGGGAGATGGGGGTATCTGAGCAGTGCCAGGAAACGGGCGGCCAGCGCGACCACCGCGCATATTGCCACGGCCTCGACCAGGCAGCGGTGTTCCTCTTCTGCTCTCGCTCGTCCGAATAGGGCCAGGTCCGTTTCCATAGCGGCTGTGTACGACTGGAGCGTCGGTGGGTTGTGCCTCAGTCGATTCCTCGGATGGACCTTCGAGTTGCTGCCGTGGTTTTCTGTAGTACGGTTCGCTGTTTGCCAATCTGCGCAACAGCTCGCGCGCCTTCTCATCTGTCTTCTCGTACGCTTCGACCGCCCCACGACCTTCCTCGATCTCTTTCTCGTGTTCCTGTGCGTAGTATTCGCGGTTGATTGAGCTCTCCGGGCCGGGAGCGACCATCTTCAAGGCAGCATCGCGGACAACGATCGGGAGACCAAATGATAGATCAAGCATACAGCACTGGCAGCAATTCTTCAGGCGCGCGCAAGTGAGGCAGATGGTGGTTCGCTTGGTACGTGCCGTTCGGTCTGCCTTCCAGCGAAATATGGTAAAGGGACGTGTACACTACATTATCGTTAGTAGATATTTTACATACACATAACAGAATTTGCAACTCACAATTTTACATTCAGCGCCATAGTCCTCCTTGAGCATCTGAACATAAGGATTGTCGGGAAGGCAATTCTCGCAAACTGAAGGGAAGTCGGTGGACTCCCAGCCCGACCGGTTCAGGTCTTGTTTAATTTGAGGCGGAGGCATATTATGATTATATAAGAGTAAGGTAGATTCCCCTCGTCGGCTCAGTAATAGATCAGCGATAAGCTGCGGTCGCAGTTGAACCGAAAGAAATGCGTTGAAGCCGATGGGCAGAAGGAAGAAACGTTTATCGATAGTCTTGAGGTTTGCTCATTATTCTGTGGCTGATAGAAGTGGCTAAGTATATTACGTAATAGCATTGGTCATGTGACTTCTCGCCATCGAATTCAAGCCTGGAGTCTCGTCCAACAATCGTATATCGAACATTATTACGGAGTAGAAGAGTCTAACATCTGCGGGGTTCGGCAGTGAGCACATTTGAAACTCCTGTAAATTGAAAGTCGAAACATCACGGAAGTAAGGGTATGCGGGTGCAAGCGAACTCATCCCGACGGATACGCAAATACGAAGGATACGCTATCTGCGATACGCAACACGATGGATCGGATCCCTTAGATCTGCTCTGATGCCCAAGGCCAGACCCCTTCTCGGAATGGCCTTGGTCCACTTCACAGCCACTCTCGGAGCACCACTTTCTCCGGCCAGATCCCCAGACAGCCTTTTCAGGTTTAGTGCGTTCCTGTTTTGGCTTATTGGTGAGGTACCGCCGCTGTGATTGGCCTGAGACTTCTGTCAGGACTCGCAATTCCGCCTCCTTTATTTGCTCAATCTGGGATTTTTGTCTCGCTGGCAATAATCACATTCACATTCCCCCTTCTTTTTTCACTTCTGCCTGTCTGGTCCGTTTCCTTCAAGATTGTGATCTTGTGGATATATTAACATTCAATTTTCCCACTTGGGCCATTGTTTTAATTCTCTTCTTTTCTTTCACAGTCTCATTTCTGCGATCAGTGGTCCACCCCTTTTACACCCTTACCACACCCAAAAGCCCAATTGCTATAAACCATGGCCCCCGCTAGTTTGGAACAGGAGAACCACACGCGCGATGCCGAGTTCAATCGTGCGATGCACGGAAAGTCTGCCCAGTCTCGGGGTGGTTTTGCTGCTCTTCGTGGCAAGGACTCTGCTGCTCAGAAGGCCGCTGTAGACGAGTACTTCAAGCATTGGGACAACAAGTCCGCTGAAGAGGAGACAGAGGAGACTCGCGCGGTGAGTAACCCATCTTTGTTACTATGTGGGATTCTAACCTAATTGTTGTTTCCTAATAGGCCCGCCGTGCCGAATATGCCACATTGACCCGACAGTATGTCATAAACCCTGAGCTTCGGAGCCATTGGACTGTTCTAACGTCGCTGCAGCTACTACAACCTGGCCACGGATCTTTACGAGTATGGATGGGGTACTTCGTTCCATTTCTGCCGCTTCGCCCAGGGCGAACCCTTCTACCAAGCGATTGCCCGTCATGAACACTACCTGGCTCACCAGATGGGCATCAAGGAGGGTATGAAGGTCCTGGATGTCGGCTGTGGTGTCGGCGGCCCTGCCCGCGAGATTGTCAAATTCACCGATGCCAACGTGGTTGGACTGAACAACAACGACTACCAGATTGAGCGTGCGACTCGGTATGCTGAGCGCGAGGGATTGAGCCATAAGCTCAGCTTTGTCAAGGGCGACTTTATGCAGATGAAGTTCCCTGACAACTCGTTCGATGCCGTTTACGCTATCGAGGCCACTGTCCACGCTCCTGAGCTCGAGGGTGTCTACAAGGAAATCTTCCGTGTGTTGAAGCCCGGTGGAATTTTCGGTGTCTACGAGTGGCTCATGACCGACGCGTACGACAACGACAACCCGGAGCATCGCAAGATCCGTCTGGGTATCGAGTTGGGTGATGGTATTTCCAACATGGTCAAGGTCTCGGAGGGTCTTACTGCCTTCAAGAACGCCGGTTTCGAGCTGCTGCACAACGAGGATCTCGCCGATCGCCCCGACGCCATTCCGTGGTACTACCCTCTGGCGGGATCGTTCAAACACATGACCTCGCCTTGGGATTTCTTCACCATTGCCCGTATGACATGGTGGGGTCGTGGTCTCGCCCATCGGTTCTGCGGAGCTATGGAGACTGTTGGTCTCTTCCCTAAGGGCACCCAGAAGACGGCCGACAGTCTTGCCATTGCCGGTGACTGTCTGGTCGCTGGTGGTGAGAAGAAGCTCTTCACGCCCATGTACTTGATGGTCGGACGCAAGCCCGAGTAACGAGTCTCTTTTACACGAATTGCCTGTACAAACATCTGCCCTGTGCCTGCATCCTGAACTTATAGACGTGGCTGTCTAACCATTTTAATCCTTTTGTCCTTACTTTACCTTTTTTTTTTTTTTTTCGATTTTCCTTTCTATTGTCTTATTACTGCGTTCCGCTGCTGGAATGCTATGTTGTCCTTGTTTTATGTCCTGCCCATCTTCGCAGAAGGTGTATGTTTCACTGCTGGGTATGCGCTGATGGTAATGATTTCCGTTTTCCCTTTGTTCATTGTATGCTAGACTGAACAGAGACCTGACTATGTAATTTACCCGTCATCGGGAATAATTAAAAGCATACTTCAATACTTTTTTTCCTGCTGATAATCAATTTTTTGTAGCTGAAGACGCTCACTAGTAACGATATAATATATATAATATTCCTCTAAACCACTCCGTGGATCCCATAATCTCTCAGATAAACGGCACCGTTACTGTAGAATTTCAGCTAGCATCAACCGTAAGAACACTCATTTTAGTCAATCTACAGAATAGCAGCAAGGGGGGTCGAATACGTGGGTTCCCTAAAACATATGCAAGGATACCTTATGGACTCTAATAATATCTTAGTAGAAACTGAAACGATTGCTATATTTCCATGCTCCTGTAGCCAGAAGCAATGACACCCAATAATCAGATACAAGTAGTTCTAAGGAAGTATGATGATTGCACTCAGAGGACACAGTTCGCCTATTGTAATACGTTGGTCTTTCTACCGTCTATTTCAGTCTCCTTCAATTAGAGATGCAGCACCGCACGTGCCTTTTAATGATTGCTATTGCAGAGGGTTTCTTACATTCCGGGTACATATGGTTCCACAAAAACAAACATATGTAACATGATTCAAAACTTGACTAACCCTGCATGATTTTAGCCGTCGATCAACCATGCTTAGTGAGATGATTTCTCTAACAGTCAGTGCCCCGCATATCTTACTTGTTCTCTGCTACACTAAGGATGACTGTTAATTGACTACTGATATTTCTTTATGGCAATAGTTGTACCAGAACAAAGATCTGAAGTATGACGCTATCATTTAGGCTGAACATCTATACATAAGTATGATGAGGCTACACTAAGGTTGCATCGATGTGGTAAAGACTGATCCATGGCACCTCTGGCACATCCTTTGGTAATCGAAGCAGGATCATTTAGTACCTGAGATTAAAGTTACACCAGCCGCGTCATACACCGCTTCATCTCACCAGGCGTTGTGATCGATTTGGAATTGGGTTCATGAAACATATGTGGTCCCGGCAAAATATGACGCACGGAGTTATCATGAGACCGAACAGATTAACAGAGTGAAAGGGCAATGGCTAACATCGTACTCCGAACGAACAGCGAGATTGAGAACCGACTCTTAATTCCGCAGTTTCTGTGGGAAGTATGTTACTGTCCCAGCAACGTAAGAATAACACAGCTAGCCGGAATTAAGGGCGACGGAGAACGGGGGGAGGCGCTCGGACATCCGGGGGTGGGTCAATAAGCCAAGTGCAAAGGCCATGTACCGTTCTCAGCCAGGAATTCCATCATCGACTTTCCATCGGATGCCGGTCGCTGCAGGTCATGTTTGCGGCAATATTAATATCTCTAACCTTTCCCCGACCTTGTACAAGTAATATCTTTCAATTACCCATGTCTCTGAGACGACAATCACGTCATGGCCATGTTCGAAGACTCCAAGTCTGGAGGTAGTAGCACCGAGTCTACCAAGACGGAGACTGAACCCTCCACCTCCGCCGCCTCGGTTGGCTTCTGGGATCCAGCCTTACAAGAGGCCCGCAAGCGAATCATTTACCTCTGGGGTCGGACGGGTGAGTCGATTCTGGAGCATTTTATTGTCCCTAAACTATTGAAGGCAAACTAAGACATCTGAATTTCAATAGTATTGGGATTGTGTGCTTTTATTCTCTGTGTTCTTTCGCTCTACTGGGCCGTCCAATTCCGGTCGGAAGGCAGACTGCACACTTTAACTGTCTGGGTGGTCGATTTCGATAACCAGGTGGAACCATACAGGAATGACAGCATCACGCCCATCGTTGGACCAGCTGTGACAGATGTCGCGAATCGGCTCATCAAGTCGGATACGGAACACGTGGGGTATGAAATCAGATCTCCGGCAGATTTCAATTATGATCCCTGGGCGGTCCGGCAAGGGGTCTATGATGAACATGCATATGCTGCAATCATTGTCAACCCTAATGCTACCACTCTCCTGTATGATGCCGTGGCGAATGGCCACTCATCCTACGATCCTAGCGGCGCTGCTCAATTTATAGTCATCAGCGCGCGTGACCAGACCACATATTCCAGCTATATCGAACCGGCCTTGTCCTGGTTCCAGCTGGAAGTTCTTGCCGAGTTTGGCCCCAGGTGGATTCAGACTCTCACGCAACAGTCTATGGACATCTCTCGGGTGCCGCAGGCTGTCAATCCGGCAATTGGGTTCTACAAAGTTGATCTTCGGCCGTTTGGCCCGGCTGCTGCGACGCCATCCGTGACCATTGGCCTGATTTACCTGATCATTATCGCCTTTTTCAACACTCCATTCCTCATGCCGGTTCATATGCAGTTCATCAAGGGGAACCACCCGCCGCTGAAAAACTCGCAGTGGCTCATCTGGCGTCTATGTTCGAGCATCGTGGCCTACTTTTTTCTGTCGCTGTTTTATTCCTTTGTCTCGCTGGCCTTCCAGATCCCGTTCAGCAACAGTCCAGCCCCCGATACGTTGCCTGCCGCCAATGCTAATGCCTATGGACACGGATCGTTCATGGTATTCTGGATGCTGAATTGGGTTGGCATGACTGCGCTGGGACTACCGTGCGAGAACATGGGGATGATCCTCGGCTTTCCCCACAATGCACTATTCCTGATTTTCTGGGTCATTACCAACGTCGCCACTGGCTTTTACGCGTTGGATCTGGCCCCTGGATTCTTTGCTTGGGGTTATGCCTGGCCTTTGCATCGCAGTAAGTCTTCCATCAATCGAATTGCCCTGCAGTTGTCTAACCCGTGTAGTTGTCGAGGCGCTCCGGACCATTCTCTTCGGCACGCATTCACGAATCGGACTCGACTTTGGGATTCTGTTTGCGTGGATCGGAGTTTCTATCCTGCTATACCCATTCGCCGCATTCATCATGCGCTGGAAGATGAAGCGAGGATTATAATCCTCCACCACGATAAAAGCGTAGACTCAAACTCAACTTGCATATACTAGATACCTCTCGACAACATAATATATTAACTTGGCTTGCCTAGCCCATCTACAAGACATGTGCATGAGTGTACAAGCTATACTCCGACTGAGACGCAGAAACAGCTAATCACTCGGCTGATCGGGCTGCTCCCCCATCGCCTGCAATTTATCCCTCGCCTGCTTCTTCCCCATATCCGTCACGTTGGGATTATGCGTTGCCCTATTTCAGCGTAGCATCAGCATCAGCACCAACGCTCTCACTCAACTCTCATCAAAAACAACATACGCCTTCAACCCCCTCTTCACATTGGACGCATGGCGCTCATCCTCGCTCGTGCTGGTGGCTTGACCACTCTCGTATCTATCGAGCTCCTGCTGCGCGTGTTGCTTGGCCTGGTCCGAGACATTTGGGTTCCGGAGGGTGCTGCTCTTTGTCAATCTACGTCTTTTTGTGGGAATATGAGGCGTACGCTTTGTATCCCCTCATTACATTCTCGGGGTCGTGGCCTTCGCTGGGCTCTCGGCTTCGGCTTCGTGCTCGGGGCATGGTGTAAGATTTTGTTGGTTGAGATGTAGTATGATGGAATGCGTATGTGTGCGTCGAGAGTTGTGCTGTTGGTCATAGGGGTTTAAGTAGCTTGAGGAGACGCCACTGCATTTGATAATGATGATGTTCTTCTACGTACTGCATGCTACATGCGATGAGCGATGATGAGTGTATGACATGAATGTGTTCCGTGGTTCAGGGTAGTTCCTCATGATGCTATGTATTTGGATAGTGTCGGTGACGTCGCACGAAATGTGTTTATAGAGATGTTGTATGATAGATCGATCATAGATGAGAAGTAGGTGATATGGATTACTCAAATAGGAATTGTACCTGACGATCAGTGCTAGTACGATTAATCCGTCTTCATTTCCACATGGCTGTGGGGACTAACAAGATCTCAATATATGCATATCTACTACTGCAGTTTTGATATCAAGTTCAGTTTGTAATCAATGTTTACTCTGTATACCATAGAGAGGTTCATACTTCATACAATTCATCATGCCAATCGGAATTCTACTCCGACTCGCCGCTTGCATCAGCTCTCATCCCAGCCAAGACGGACCTCGGGACAGATGTCCGTGAGGCCTGTTTCATCACGTGTGGCCTCAGATGATGGTAGCAACTTGGCAAGTGCTTGTTCTGCTTCAAGCTACACTGCCATGGCTGTAGTGTACTTGGCGACGATGAAATCTTGCAGATGCGGATCTGACATTGAAAATTCGCAATAATCTAAAGCATTGAATACCAGAGCCACATCTGTTGCGGCGATCCCCGATTGTGGCAAGTTAGCTGATACCAGGCAAGGCACACACGTCGCCGCGCTAGGCGCATTGTCTTCCATCAGAGTCTTCCATATCAGCTGTCAAGTGGCCGATGTACAGCTGCAAACCTTCTAGAACATGTTTTAGTCCATGTGCGTATGCCTCGCCCCCGCGCAAGGGATCCAGCCCAAGGGATGGAATGTTAGAACGCAGAAAATTCTTCGCCCCTTCTTCTCCTCGTCCTGCATCAGCATGGCACACGTATCACAATCTCTTTGCTTGTGAATGGCTGATATTTCCATCATATTGCTTCTGCTGTTCCAGGGACAACGCCCGAACAGGCTGGGTCTAGGAGGTCCAAGTCACTTGCATAGTGTAGAAGGACAGCACGTGCGACGACCGCAGCGTCTCATTCATTGACATGACGAGATGCTAGTTCGATGTCAATTTGTCTGTAACCCTGGAAGCAGTGGAGCAGAACTCTAAGAGAGAGCATGAAGTGGGTCGAGATGGTTAAACTTGGCAAGCCATCCAATGTTCTCCAGGCATCAATGTCTTGGCGCAGCTGTGGGTCCCTGGCCACTCAGCACGGTGGAACGGAGCATGCTCCGAAGATTGGCGTTCTGATTGGCTGTACATTGGTCGAAAGGTTCGACACCCCGAACCAATCAGGGGCTAGCTTCTATACGGGTTAAATGACCAAATCGGCAACGCCTACCAAGAGCAAAAAACGCATCGTCGCCCCCCGTCTGGGCAAAGGTCTTGATGAAGCTTAGACAAGCTTGAGTCGCCATACTAGTGGCTCACTGACTTCTTGTGGGCGTAGAGTGACATACCTTAGTCACCAGAGTGGTTGACACGAACGTGGCCGGGGTCCAGATTCACTATCGTGCCCCGACTCGCGGTCTCAATTCGTTGCAGCCATCGTTTATTCTTGTTCACGGGTTTGGAACCCATGGACGCTAAAAAAACGCCTACCTCTGTGTATTCTCTGTAATCTTTGTACATAAGGGGGTCGATCCCGTCCTTGACACGAAGTTCCTTTGAATCTTTCCGAGGACTAGGTTCGACAACTTTGAGCCCCCTTCCTGGCGTGGTATTGCATTCAGTTATACTTCTCTAATACCTTCTCACTCTCCTTCAACCTAACCAATCTCAGCCATGGCTTCTACAGGAGGCGGCAACTCCGCCTTCCGGAACTACAACAACGAGTTGGCTCATGTGGAGGATCCCAGAGAGCGCCGTCGTCAGGCTCTGGCCGAGATTGACAATGCCAAGTTCGGCTGGTACCACATCCGCGCCGTCGTTGTTGCCGGTGTGGGTTTCTTCACTGACTCCTACGATATCTTCGCCATCAACCTGGCCTCCAGTATGCTGGGTGTTGTCTTCTGGCAGGACGCCAAGTCCAACCCCGGCAAGATTCCCTCAACCGCAGATACTGCCATCAAGGTGTCTACCTCTGGTGGTACGGTGATTGGACAGCTGTTCTTTGGTTGGCTTGCGGATCGCATTGGTCGTAAGCGCATGTACGGTATTGAATTGATGATCATCATCATGGCCACTCTGGCTCAGGCTCTCTCCTCGGACTCGCGTGCTATCTCCATCGTTGGTATTCTCATCTTCTGGCGTGTTATTATGGGCATTGGTATCGGTGGCGATTATCCTCTGTCTTCTATCATTACTTCCGAGTATGCTCCCCCTCCGAGTCTGTCTGAACTTTCGCTGGTGTTGGACTTTCGCTGACATGGTTCCTTGTTCAGGTTTGCTACCACAAAGTGGAGAGGTGCCATGATGGGTTCCGTCTTTGCCATGCAGGGTTTCGGTCAATTCGCGGCGGCCATCGTTGCTCTGATTGTTACATCCGGTTTCAAGGAATCTCTGGAGACTGCTAGCTCCGTGGGCAAGTGCTCCGGTGTCTGCCAGCTCGCCGTCGACAAGATGTGGCGTGTGGTCATCGGTTTCGGTGCCGTCCCTGCCGTCATCGCCCTCTACTACCGTCTCACCATCCCCGAAACCCCCCGCTACACTTTCGATGTTGCCCATGACATTGTCAAGGCCGACGAGGACGTCCGTGCCTATATGAGCGGCAAGCACGAGGGCCACCCCGACGAGATGCGCCGCCAGTCCGTCCTCCAGAACCACGCCGGCAACTTGACCCCCAAGGCTAGCTGGGCTGATTTCTGGCGCCACTACTTGCAGTGGAAGAACGGAAGTATCCTTCTTGGTACTGCTGGTTCTTGGTTCTTCCTCGATGTTGGTAAGTCTCGTCGACCTGCCGAGCTAGCTTTTGAAATGATATTAACCTTCAATAGCGTTCTACGGTCTTGGTCTCAACAACTCCATCATCCTGAGTGCTATCGGCTGGAGCGGCGGCAAGAACGTCTACGAGGTCTTCTACAAGAACGCCGTCGGTAACCTGATCCTGATCTGTGCGGGTGCCATCCCCGGCTACTGGATGACCGTGGCCACCGTCGACACCGTCGGCCGCAAGCCCATCCAGCTGGTCGGCTTCATCATCCTGACCATTGTCTTCATCGTAATCGGTTTCGCCTACGAGCCCCTGAAGAGATCCAACAACGGTCTGCTGGGTCTGTACGTCGTCGCGCAGTTCTTCTTCAACTTCGGCCCCAACGCGACCACCTTCATCGTGCCTGGCGAGTGCTTCCCCACACGCTACCGGTCCACCTCGCACGGTATCTCCGCCGCGTCCGGCAAGGTCGGCGCCATTATCGCGCAGTGTGTGTTTGGACCTCTGGTGCACAAGGGCTCCAGTGACCCGTCGAAGTCCCCCTGGCTCAACCACGTCATGCAGATCTTTGCTCTGTTCATGCTGTGCGGCTGCTTCACCACTCTACTCATTCCTGAGACCAAGCGCAAGACCCTGGAGCAGCTGTCCGGGGAGGAATTTGAAACTGATACCCTGGTGCAGAACTCTCCCATGATCCAGGCGGAGAAGAAGTCGGACAACGCGACCGTTGCGGATGTTTGAGTAGATGATGAGCTTGGATAAATGACTGCTATGTCATGACTGTGAATAAATTTGTGCCTCTGGCCGTTCCTTTGTTATAGATACCATAGTTAATGTACTTTAATCAATCATCTGTACGTACATCTGTCATCCGTGCCCGAGATCCTCAGTAGAGAGCACGCTGCATGCAAGACTACATACACCCAACTCATCCAGAACCAGAATCTATCGAAAAGAAGCGATATCCAAATAAAATCCTAGTCGCATGAAGGAAAAGTCCAGTCCCAATTTACAATTCCAAACCGAGTTAGGGCAAAGGAAGAGGTCAAGTGGCGTTCTGGAATTTTATCCTTAAATACCTCGACTCCCGTCGTCGACTTTCCTTCCTCACTCATTCTCTCTTCCACCTACCTACCTACCACTTCACTCATAATCAAGCCAAAATGTCGCCAACAACAACAAGAACAACCACAACCGCCGCTAAAACTCAAAATGACCCCCAAGAAATCCCCGAATTAAATACCTACCCTGCCACCACGAAAGACGACCTCATCCCGGCCCTCCGCCTCATCGCCGACTCCGTCGCGCAACAGCGCCAAAGCGCCGCCCGCGCACTCATCTTCCACCCCCTCTGGCTATCTGCCATGGCCGCCCTGATCGCAATCGTCTACAAAGTGCTCTACACCGATTCGTCTGACCTCCCGCTCATCGGGACGACGAGCGCAGGGTGCGTGATGGCGGGGTTGTTGGTTGTGCGGGGGTTAACGGCGGGGTATATCGAGGAGGCGGAGAGGGTTGGGAGGTGGGAGTGGCTCTTCCCCAGTTCTAGCACCGGGACAGAGGGAGAGGAGAAGGGACAGGAGCAGGAGGTTCTGGTGACGAAGTTCGGGGAGAGGATTATCGCGGCGGTTGTGCTGCGCGGCGTTCCTGCCGATGAGAAGGGGAAAGTGAAGGGGGTTATTCGGGCGTGGACGGTTGAGAGACGGTATCGCGGGAAGGGTGTGGGGGTTGGATTGCTGGAGGAGGCAGTTGCATTGTGCCGGGAGAAGGGATGGGAGGGGCCGGTGTTTGATGATGAGCATGCGAATGCGAAGAGGGTGCTGCCGGGGTTGTTTAATGGGCGGTTTGAGAGGAGGGAGAAATGGGCGAGGAAGGTGCTGGAGGGCGTGAAGAAAAGGATGGAGTAGAATCCATGATTGATGTATGATAGCCATGTACCTATGTTTAATAATGTTTATAGACTGCTGAGTGATCTGCTCTACAGCACTCATGGCCAGATATCCAACTTGGATAGATACCATGACGGATATAGTGCTGATTCCTTCTCATTTGAGGAGACAGTAGTATCTTGAAGATATAGTCCTTCCTACCATGCTATGGGATTGACTGTGATCCTGACTACTAATACGCCAAATGACTCTGTTTCAGCATACAGTGTTGGGTTAGTTAATTGTGGCTAGTCAAGACCGAAGTCTGCCACGTCGAACTTTCCCTCGCGAAAGGCTTCCATCGTCTCGCCCTGCATAATGCCGTGCACGTAGCTTTCGCCAACAAGCACATATCTACTGTTGGGCTTCCGCCGCAGCATTATAGGTACCATGGCCCCAAATAGGATGCAGCAGGTGTCGCCCTCCCTCAAGGCGCGCGGTCCGATGCCTAGAAAGCCGCGTTTCGTGGTAAAGACCTGCCGGTTCGCCATGACCACCTGCATGTCCATGAGGAACTGGAGACGATCGCCCTTCCCCGCCTGTGATGCACGGGTGCGCTGGGCTACCGAACGCGAGATAAAGGCCGCAAAATTCGCATCTAGTGTCTCCTCGTCCGATATCGCCGCGGGACCGTGCAAGAACATAGAGCTCTGTACAGCGCTCCAGTTAGTCAGTCCGGCCGTTAGCGTACGCCCTAACGCTGTGGCCAGCCCGTTGGTGACTCCCTTCGCGTCCTGGTCTGTGTATGGCGAGCTAATGTCGTGTAGACGCCTAAGTATATCGTGTATGGAGCCAGACATCTTGATGTCGAGTGCATCCGGATTTTTGCCATAGCGCTCGAACGGGACTGATACGATGCAACTGGCAACCTCATCGAACTCAAATCCTCGTAACATTAGAACGTCACCCTCGACGGAGATACGCTGGAGTGTGGAAGAGCCAGAAGACACGTTGTAGGCGAGTTCATTACTGGTGATATTCAATCCGTCTCCCAGTGTAATGCAGTGTTTGCGGGTATCCCATCTGGGGACCCATGAAGGATGACCCTCCAGCATGATGGTACGTTCGTCCTGTTCGACAGCTGAGAGGAGTCGTAGGTTGCCAGTCTCTGTCAATATTGCCTCGGAAGCTTCTTTGAATACGCGAGATGGCCTCTTCGCGCAGTCAGGCTGCACAGGTGATAAACTTTCCTTCGTCTGATCTGCCTGCGTATTGTCATGGCGGTAAACTTTGCGAGCTGCTTGATGTCCTAGGGTTGCATAGATGTAGTCGTGTTTAACACTTGCTATGCTTGTCCGCGAAGCCTGCAGGATGCCAAGGTAATCAATCTTGACGTGTAAATGGACAAACTGTTGATACTTGTACAAGAAAACAACGTTGAACGCTCGCATTAGAATGGCGCCCTTCAAGTGGTACGTTTGGTAAACAGGTAGTCGAGACCCGGCGAAGGCCATAATCGAGACAAAAAGCTCTGTGGACATTCTATCGATGGTCTCGCGGCCATCGAGAAACTCGCCATGGTATGCTAATCCGAATTCTTGGAGAACCCATGCTCGAGATCACCAGTCGCAGCTGAGCAGACTGATTGTTTCTTCCCACTCATGCTGCGAGATGGAATGGAACATTGCAGGGGACACTTGCGCTGAGAATCGTATCGGGTCGAAGTCAGGTTCCGGCCGACTCTCGAACTGGCGCAGCCAGGTCTCAAATATCTTGTTGATTTTCTTGAGTGCCTTCATGGTGCGCGTATCTCGCGAGATATCTCCGTCGAGGCAGAAAAGCACAGTTCTGGCCCCTTCATATATCTTGTCCATGATACTAACCTGCTGATTCTTCTCCAAGATACCGTCCTGGTTGATACAAATTGCGTCTGCCCACAATGTCCTACTTGACTCCGATAGGCGAACTCTTAGCAGAACTCTTAGCAGCACCTGTTCGAGACTTGCAGTGATGGGCAAAAATGCACCGTTACAGATAATGCTCCCAGTCTTTTCCATGGAGCCCCAGACGTAGGAGACAGCCTCGTATAGTTGGGGCCAGCATGGTTTCTGCCCTAGAGGGTACTCATACAGGCGGCATTCTAGCGAATCGTGAGCGGAACCAGGTTGCAAATCAAGAACCCGAATAGAGTCGTGTGACTGGAGCTTCTCATAGGCGAACACCGAAACAGGATGAGCCCCTGTAGATGATCCTCCGGACTGTGTGTGCTGAGCGAGGCTTCGCCGCTGTGGGCTGCCGCGAATGGGTCTAATATGCGGTACGCGCTCCTCCATAGCTCGCGCAGGTTTGTCTGGGACATATTAGTGGCTAGTTGATCCGGGGCAGAAGACATGAGGCATTTCACTGCGGCGTTTTGAAGCCGACGTTGGCTGCTTGTGCTTCTTTACAGTAGACTCCATGGCGTGGTGGACACTCGTCATCAAATGTGCGGCTATTGTATATAGAGACGTTGAGACTAAGCTGCTGCTTTCTCCGTAGTTACCAGGGATATAAAATCCGGCAATCTGTTTGAGTTGCCAAACAACTTTCTAGCCAGCCCGGGCAGTTGGGCAGGATTGTGCGCAGCTGCCTTGTGGCCTGTCCGAACGAGGTCCTACGGCGTTGAATTAAGACGCTATATGGGCCTGTCTGGCTGGGGGCCTGGGGCACATCCAATTATAATGTAGTCTGGAGTAAGCACGCAGCATGCCAAGTGAGACATTTAGGTGCCGCACATCATTCAGACCAGTGACTGCATGTGTCCAGGGGCCTAGGATAGCCTGTGCGATATATTAACAAGTCTTGCGGAACAGCATCAGCCGGAGCCGTTTTTGAACCGCTGGCTAACCATGTCATTGCTAAACACTTATAGGTAACTGGCGTATCCTAGTAGATAATCCAGACAAAAACAACAATGTGCACTTTAGGACGAATTCTGACGATGATACGCTTGCTGCACCCAGCAGATTCAGCCATCTAGGATGTAGTGAGTTGACCACTGCTTCTCATATCATGGATAAGATCAAGGGTAGACTGAGCTAGCTTAGGTGCCATTCTGTGTTGTACTCTAGCTATCGATCGCTAAAACCGTTTTCCGGATTTAATGTTCTTCTTCTGCCCATAGCGCTGAATAAACCTTGATGATAAGCCTTCATGATTATTCTACCTCTCTATGCATTGATACATACCCTGTCTCCATTATGTAATGACGTCACTGGTAGATTCCCTCAAACAAACCAACCTGCTCATGCATCAGAATTCTGGAGTCTATTTATCCAGAGTAGAGCTAGAATCTTCTTCTAGGATCAATCAAGCAGCCATCAAGGCCGATAAAGTTCCACAAACGACGTGGATCCTCCCCAGGATACCTAAATATAGCACTCGGGTACCCAGACAACCCACCTGATTGGCTGCAGGCTATTGATCGTATGCTGTGCCATGTCTAACATTCTTTGTTTGTTGTCACGCGATTCTCTAAGCTTTCAGTTTATATCATTGAAATCTGAGCGCTCTGTTCTTTTATTTCTTCTGTTCTTACCCCATACAACCAGCTGTTGATACAACCACCAGTCTAACCTACCTATACTCTACCCCTACTTTACACCAAATAAGCCATGGACGTGGCTACAACAACAATGGCATCAACATCAACCTCCACCACCTCTGGAGCGTCGGCAACCTGCACAGGCAACCGCTGGATCCTCCCCGTCCAGGACGTCGCGTGCGCCCTCCCAGCAACAGGAAACTACACCTCCATCATGGACAAGTGCTGTCACCCGGCATCCGTCACGAAATACAACGACGGGTGCGACCTGTACTGCCTCGCGCAGGGGCATAGCATGGGCGAGTTACTGAACTGTATTAAGGAGAACGGCGGCAATAAGGATGTGTTCTGTGGGGGTCAGTTGAATGCTACCGCGACGGCGAGTTTGACTTCCACTGCGTCGAGTACGGGGACGAAGACGGGGGCGAGTGCAAGTGAGACGAGCCATAGTGGTGCTGCGTCGAAGCGAGTGTCGGTTTTGGGGGTGGGGTTGTTGATATTGGTTGTTTGTGGGATGGTTGTTTGATTTGATTGCTTCGCTTTGCTTCTGGGATAATGAATAATGAATAATGGGAATGGGTGGTAACGTGATGTTCTATTTATGCAGAATCTCGAATGGAATGGATTCTTGTGCGAATCTGCTTTCTTGTATCTGCGAGGAATAGCTGCGCTGTAGAGGCCCTTGGAAGATGTATGACTTTTATACCTGTTGACCAGGACACATAGGCGTAGTTGGATATCAATCTGGCGTATGCTCGTGGTTCCTCCAGCTAGGATGTACATTTAGCAGAGTGAGTGGCGTCGCCATCAGCATGCTGAGTATCAACAAGGCCAGTATTCTGGCATGCCACTGATGCTGCACCTCTGTAGATACGGCTTGGATGAAGGTCAGAATTCACGTATGGGTCTCTTACTGTGAGGGACGTTCATCATGCTCGTGATGACTGGAGCAAAGAGGCTGCAGTGTCTGCGGACCCATATTCTTTACTTAGTGACTCATCTCCTATCTTGATTCGCAATAGCTTGCAACGGTTCGATTCTCCAGTGGACTCCAGGCATTGGAACCTTGTGGCTTAGACAGTGTTGGGTAGGTCCATACCGTTCCGCAATAGTTTGAGGCCGTAATCAGAAACACGAGAGCAATAGCGGTAGGTGGACACATGTCTTAAATGATTTCATCCTCTCAGCTGAGCCGTAATCAGGAACACGAGAACAATAGTAGTGGGTGGACACATGTCTTAATATTTTATCCTCTCAGCTGATGGATGATGGATGATGGACGGTGGATATGCAAAAGTTGAGCAATATACCCAAATAGGAAAAACGCCCAACTACTCCAACTCGTCCCAAAACGGCAAAACGCCCAACCATTGACTCGGACTCATCACCTTTTCTCTAGTTTATGATCGCTTGCTATGTCTCATGCTGAGCAGGAATCCTAGGCAACCCCATCCACAACGCCATAATCGCCCCAAGCAAGCCAATCACAAACGGCTGCAACACCTTGACCCCCTTGGCCTGCGCAATCGCCCCAACAGCAAACGGCAGCACTGAGGCGCCTCCCGCTCCAAACGCCGCCGCAAAGCCAATCGCAGTGACATGCAAGCCACGAGGCAGCAACTTGGTCGCCACGACCACAACAGCAGGGAACAGCGGACCGAGGAAGAAGCCCTGGAGCGAAACGGCCACGGTGGAAACGTAAAAGTTTGGAACAAGCCAGAGGACGAGACCCAAAGCGATGGAAGAGACGATATAGATCTGCAGCGCAGTTAGCATGGCATCCAATAATCAAGGGACGGGGAGACCTACAGAAATAGCCAATTTCTCTCCCAACCTCGGAGTCACAAATCCTAGCACGACCCGGCCCACCGTAATCCCCAACCAAAACCCGGTCGCCACCATTCCACTCGCAAAGGGCTCGCCGTGCCGCACGCGCATCATGAAGGTGACGATCCACCCGCCCAGCGCAACCTCCACGCCGACATACAGCAGTAGGAAAAACGAACACAGCCAGGTAATCCTTCCAGCGCGTTTCGTGAACAGCGCCTTGCGCAGGCTACCGCCACCGGTGCCGGTGCCACCTGTCGAATGCTGCGTGTCCCGCCGGAAGGCCGCCCCGGTATCGTCCCAGAAGCAGTAGACCGAGGTCGCGAGCTCGATGACCGCGCAGCCAATCTACTATTGTCAGCTCATCCACACTTATATCCTAGGGGATAGAGAAAGACAAACCATGATGTAATAGAAATACCACCAGCCCACCCCCGCCTTCGTAACCAGCGATGTGGCAGCCAACGGCGCAAGTACCGCGCCCACACCGTAGAACCCATGTAGCAGGCCCAGCACCTGGTTCGCATCCGCCATGTTGCCGATCCAGGCATTCCACCCCGAGTCGGCGAGACCGTTGCCGAACCCGGCAAAGATGAAGCTCACCACGAGAACGGGGTACGGCGGGTGCAGGCAGTTGATTATGTACGAGAGGACATGGCACGAGGGGGAGATGATGGCCACGCCGCGCCGGCCAAAGCGCAGGTGGATGTGGTTGTTTGTTAGTGCGGCGAGGAAATACCCGCCCAGCGGGGAGAGGAAGACGAGAGAGACGATGGTGTAGGAGAGGGAGTAGTGTTGTTCAAGCTTATCTGTCAGTATACTTCAGTCGGTAGGGTATAATAAACTTACGTAGGGGATTAGTGGCTATTGCGTGTGTTAGTTATATTGAATGAATGTAGATACGGAGTGGAAGGCTTACACCGTATGCGGCGTCATTTGCGCCCATGACGAGAAACGCCCAGAAGGTCGCGGCTATCTTGTAGATGTTTGACTTGGGATGGTTCCATCGTTCCATGGCGGGGAAGACATTTCCTGGCGGGGGGGAATGGGATGCTTCCAGTTGGAGACTGGCGAGTCCGTGGTTGTCTTCATTTCGACTGTATGTTTTGGTAGCAGTAGTTGTCGTTGTCGTTGTCGCCATGTCGTACAAATACAAGGACGAACGTTGGCAAAAAATCGTAGAGAAATCTCGGACTGATTGATGCGTTTTAAGGTGCATTTATAGCTGCACGATTGGCAACTGGCTAACTCTGGTTTCCCCATCTCGTTCTAACTTTCCTCGTGGTCCACGGGGCAGTTCCGGTCTCCAGTGGAGAACTGTGGAGGAACTAACACGAATACTAAGTATTGCTTGGCTGGGGTGACTCATGGGAGTGGAGTAGAGTACACTAATCCTTGGCAGCTCGATTTCATCATCAGGACATCAGAATCATTAGCAAATGCAGATATCAATCGGTTAGTCCAAAACCCTGACCCCCACGAAATCCGCCGCATAATTTTGGAACCCATCCTCCCCACCCTCATTCCCGAATACGACCTTATTCTCCCCCTTCTTCCATCCAGAGGTCAGAACCCCCAGTGTGGCTGTATCCCACCATCCCTTGCCAGGCGAGAACAGTTCGCTATGCCGTCCGCTCAACGGGGCCTCTAGTCGCACCGGCGCCCCGTCGTTGACGCTGACGGTCAGGTTGCGCGAGTTGGATCCCCAGCCCCAACTTGACGAGAAGGCGACATCATTGTTGATGTAGTCGATCGCGAGGTACTTGGACCCCGGGGTGGTCGCTGGGATGGATGCGTAGGCGTTGCTGTTGGGACTGAGGTAGCCGATTTTTGAGCCAACGGGGCTGCAGCCGGACCCGCAGGTGGTGTGCTGGGCGCTGCCGGTAACGTTGAAGACGGTGTTGGCGTAGTAGGTGCCGGTCGGTGGAGTAATCTGGATAGACTCAATAGGGGTCGTGTGCTGGATGGTGATGGTGTTTGACCCAGCCGCCAGGGCGATTCGGGCCGATTTGCCGGAGGCCGAGACAGTCTGGCCGGAAGAGGTCGTGATGGTGATGGTTTCGGTGGATGATCGCGAAAAGCTGATGGCCAGCGTGTAGTTTGCGCTGGTAGTAGCTGCATAGACCGACTCGAAAGTGGTTTTTTGACTGCCTGTAGACTTCGCGAAGATTTTGGCTGGATATGACCCCGACTGGACGGTACCCTGCAACTCCAGAAGCATCGTTCCATGTCCTGCCACTCTCGCAGTGTACGATGTTCGCACATCACGAATCACGGTATTGCCCCATATATTTCTGACAACTTTTGCATACTGTAGACCAACATCAGGCAGATCGAGCGTGAGATCCCTCGACTCATTTCGCCAATTGATGACCGCCACCACGGTCCTGTTGCCCGAAAGTGGTCCACTCCACACCTCGTACCCTTCGTCCGACCACCTCCGCTTCAGACTGGCACTCACCCCCAGCGAGTCCTGGTTAAACCCAATGACATCCTTCTGCTTCAACACCTGCAACGACGCTTGGTTGATACTAGTGACGTTATCTTTCAACGCCGCTCCGATAATCAATGGGCTTTTCAAAATCGCCCACAGCGAGAAGTGCGTCTGCTCCTCCGGCACCGAAAACACCCCGTTGCCCACAAACAGCATATCCAGATCTGGCCACTGACCAGGTCTAGCGAAATCTGTGTTGGGAACGGCCTGGTTCAGCGTGCGAAAGATACTTCGCCACGCGGGGATGATGTCGTTGCCGATGCGCCAGGAGTTCCCGAGCGCAGGAGCCCAAAGAGCGGGGAAGTCGATGCCCCATTCGCAGATCTGGAAGAGGATTGGTCGACCGACACGCGACAGGGCAGACGACATTATCTCATAGCGAGGACTAGGGGATGTGCTGGGCTCATAGTTGACATTGGGGTAGTTGGTGGCAGCGTCGGAGTAGCAGTTGTCAACTACACAATCAGCGGGCTTCTATCTTTAAGGGACGGACATACACTTTAACGCATCCGCCCCCCATTCGGCGAACGTTTTCGCATCCTGTTCTTCGTGGTCTGGTCAATTAGCGAAGCCACAAACCAAGGATGACGGGACTTACACAAGCTGCCGGCTTGGTCTGGGGGACTGCCGCACAACTTGGTTCCCGAGTCCCCATAAACGCCGAACAGCAGCCCTAATCCGTGAAGATACCTTCCCATGGCGGGAAAGCCGCTTGGAAACAAGGTCTCGTTCCAGGTCAAGGTGCCATTCGGCAGCCGATCGGCCACTGACCAGCCACAGTCGGTGGTCACATAGCGGTAGCCTAATGAGGCGAGTCCAAGATCAACGAGCGCTTTGGCGTTGGAGCGTATTATCGCTTCGTTGGGCGAGCACGAGTAGTGATTGTACGTGTTCCACCTGGCCAGTCAGTAGAAGTCAATCTTCAGCAGGAGTAACATACCCCATTTGTGGCGTCTTGGCCAGGCCATTGTCGATGCGTGGATGAAGAGAACCAGCCGCAAGGACTGGCGAAAGTAATAGAACTGTGACAATAGACTCCATCTTGCCTGTGGACCATAGACTGAAACTCTATCAAGCTAGAGAGACATTTATACTCTTTATGCTAAACGGGCCAATAACCCAATTCGGCGCAGTTCCTGTGGTACGTTATCTGAGCACTGTCGATATGCGGAGAATTTCCGAGTTGGGAGTCGAACAATGCAGATCATATTAAAAAAGCGGGGAAATTGCGGTTAAATATTTCAGCATTCTGCAGGCTAAATGAAGCCATTCCATGTTAGTATACCCAAGAGTGGTGCAATGTGCAATTCCCGCTTCTCATGAGCTGTCACAACAGGCCTGCCAGCTTCTGTGTCTGCGGAGAAATCGGAAAAATGACCCTTTCAAGGTAATGCAATATGCTCCGCGACCTAACATCTGCTCGGTGCTTGGCAACTCGTAGTCGTCGTTGGAGCTTCCGTCCTCCTAGTAAGGTGTATGTCGTAAGTCCAGGTTGATCGCGGGGATCATCGCATTAGCCGTTCTTCAACTGAGTTGTCTGCCAGATTGACAGGCTCAAGGTCTATCGATTCTTTTGACTAAAGAAATGATCAATTCGTTTCTGCCGCTGATCGAAAGTAGCGCTCCCGACTCCCCCTTTCGTACGCTGAAGATCCGCCAGGTGTGCTCGAGTATTAACCCCAAGCACCTGCAGCGAATACCCACCCAGAACCGGCATATCCGGATCTCCTACCGAAGGACTCAATTTCGGACAAACCAACAGCTCCAAGTACCCCGTATTGGCCCAGAACGGGTTAAAGGCGTTGATGTCTGCGTCCCCTACTATGCGTACATCGCTCGGAGGAAAACACGCGAGTAGAGCGCGCCACAGACTCCGTAGAAGTAACCCGTGCGAGACCACAGCAACGACAGCCTCATCCCCAGCCTCGTCGCCAGCGAGAAGCAAGGGGAGTAAGTAGTCAGTGAGAAATGCGTTTGCGCGCTGGCGCATGGATGCCTCGGATTCCGGTTGCTTGGGAACAATGCTCGACTCCCAGGCTGAATGCCACTTTTGCCCCTCGAAGGAGCCAAAATCACGTTCGCGTAGGGATGGCAGGAGCACCGGACTTAGTTCTGGCTGATGGGCGCTGAGACCTTCGGCGGTGAGAATGGCTCTGGACAGATCTGATGAGAAGATATGGCTGAATTTGATGTTTTGGGAGGCGAAATATCTCCCTAGACGGGTGATCTGGAGGGCGCCGTGATTTGTCAAGGGGGAGTCTTTGATCCCGGCCCTGTGGGCGTTAGTGATTGTAGGGCAAGGAGGGGAGGGACTTACAATCTATGAGAGACATTATCGACGGTTTCCGCATGGCGGATGAGATAGAGTTTCATCTTGATGATTGGAGCCAAGTGAGGATGCCGGGGAGATGGTTGTTGGATGAATGGAATATTTTCTGGTGGCGGACTTTTGTTGGGGATTGCTCGGGGCGGTGCCTAAACTGTCACCCAGGTCCACCTGATATACCATGCACAAATGATTCTCTACCTCTCTCATTGTCTATACATTTTATTCTCAAATAATATGTCACTAACATCATAGCGATAATCCATGAGTAGTTTCAAGATGAGACCCTTGTGAGCTGCACTGGCTCTTCAACATAATACTAATGTGTTAATAACATTTTTATAGCCCTAAGACTCGGCAGGTTCATCAGCAATTCTCCTCATCCCCACCCTATATGATGCCGCACTGGGGATCATATTGCCCTAAATTTAGGCTCCCAATAGAGGCTCTTGAGTGCAGATGATTGTGATGCCGCCTTTTCGATTTATCCTGTATACATCTCGTTTATCATCAGCTACAATTGCTAACTTTTCCATGAAGACTTGATCCAGATAAGCAGATAAGCAGATACATTTTCATTCCTAGAAGAGAAGTAGAAAGAAAATTAATATCATCTGTGAACATGATGTTTTCTTGGGTTCCAGAGGAGAGACAGGCTGGGAGAACGGGAGCATTTATCACTTCTGCTGAAATAGATGTCTCATGTTGGAGGGTATATTGTCAGACGTAGTAGAATAAAATCATGTTCATATACTGGGTTGACATTCACCTCCACCCCCAGTATCATAAGTCCATTCACCAGCTGTCCCGAACAGTGAATGGCAGAAGTGTCAACAAGAAGAGAAGAAGTGGCAGATACAGAATCTTCCCAGGATGGTCGAGGCTGGTATCATTGTCGAATGTACCTCACCCTGGAGTGCGAGAACAAAATTTCCCCAAAAATCCTCAGGAAAATTGCGGATGGTGCATAACTATATTCCCATTAACGCAGCTACAATTAAAATGAACTACTACCTTAGGAGAATCGAACCAGTCATCGCAAATTTGTCGAAGCATCTATGGAAAGTCTTCAAAGTGGACGCGGCCAACGGATATTGGGCTGTTCCTCTGGCGGCGGAACATTCTTTCAAGACAGGTTTCACCACAATGTGAACTGTTGAACTGAGCTTATTGGGAGTTACCACTGCGGCTTCCAGTGGACAGGAAGGGCTGCGCGGATCCCCCGTGCCGGCAAAGTCATTAAACATTACCAAAGCGGCACCCTTTTTTTCCCTCCTGATATCCTCCTCGTCGTTAAGCTTGCTTTCGCGGAGCCCTCCTTCTGGCCTCAAGGTAACCCCCCTTGTGTCTCCGCGAAAGGGCTTCCTATATGGGGTTCTCCAAGTGAGCAAGCTCACCTCTCGCGGCAGATGCGGTCTCCACAGATTGTCTCTTCACAATTAAGATTGAGAGTGGCTGATCTGAGTTTCCTGGGAAGCTGAAGACACTATGCAGTGGTCCATTGAAGGACAGCTAACTTTCTTTTCAGGAATACCACGTGGGAAGTCGGCTTCCGTTAATATAGCTCGAACTCAACTGCTTTGATGTGGCAGCGCTTTTCTGCCTAACAGCAAGCTATACAACTTATGAGATTACTACTAGTCCCAGAAAAAATCGAAATAACTAATGTCAATATGAGGTATGCCAGTCATTATCATAGCACTCCCTTTACCAAGAATACAGCTAGTCTCCCATTCCATGTGTGCCAATAGTCAACTGGCTAACTAAGGTAGGCGTATACCAAGCATCGTATTCGGAGTAACGTACTTAATACACAACAATGGAACCTAGGTAATATGGCCTACTCTTATTACTGACATGGTAAGCACACGTGATGGTGCTGCCTAGTCTCCTGCCCACGTCGGAGCTCCAGACTATGCGGTACGACCCTCACCAAGACAAGCAAACAATTTCTATTCCTTTTCAAGTCTACTCATTGAACATCTATCCGTCAGCTCTCCAGCATATTAAATCCATGCCTGCGAACAAGCTCCCCGTTGACCTCACCGCCGAGATATCCAAACTCGCCAAAGCCTCTCGGTTGCAAAATGGTCTTCCTGGCTCAATGCGAGCTCTACCCGCCGTTGCCTTATTCGCAGGGACGGCTTTGTCCAAGACTACGGGAGCCTCCAACATGGTTGAGAAATGGATGCTGGGGGATGAGGAAGTCCCTCTGCTTGGGAGTCCGACTCTGGGAACCCCGGACAAGAAAGTCGAGGGACAGACGGGAGATGGACAAGGCAGCCAGCAACGGCACTCGGATGAAAGGACAAAGAATGGATTGTAGATGGTAGGAACAAAGATGGTCATAAATTAAATCTACAATTATTGGGTTCTAGCGTAATACAGCTAGCTTTGCCTTTTTTGGGCTACAGCAATGTGTATGTAGTCATTTACCCAATGGAGCCGAGTGTGTGTCTCTGTGGAAGATGCTTTGCAGCGCATCTCTCATTTTATGCTGTTGGTAGCATCTAGCACTCTTATCACTTACAGTAACTTAGGCAGGGACAAACTGAGCTGCACCGTCTGCATAACACAGCCACACCGCATCTGTCCGTCTATATCAAGAGGCATGGGGACCTCCGTAGGAACAGTGGAAAATAGATCTTCAGCAGCGACTTAGTGATTGCCTCTTAATATATGCATATCTATAGGAGTCTCTACGCTCGACGAAGCAAAGCGTGCTTTCAACTTGTTCAAGACATGGAGTCAAGGACCTACTCAAGGCAATACGCCACACAATAGATTGCCTAGTGTAATCACTTAAAAAGTGGCTAATTTGAAGCTATTCGCTACTACACTTGCCCAGAAATATAAAATCCTTAGATTCAACTCACTTAATTTACTGCACAAATCATGGTCAGCCAGAAGTAAGATGAAGCTGTTCGTATCCGACCCTGGCAAAGATCTGCACCCCACCGTATGTCACCCCAAGAAACCCCAAGATGAGTCTTGAGCAGAGAATTTCATTAACCCCACAAGTCTTCGGCATGTAACCCAGCTCAGAGGTTATATCAACTGGATCTAACCTACCCCACAAACAATCTGTACCCCACAGCATGGTATCCCTGAAGAAGCCTGAGCTAAAGAAACTTCAACCCCACAAGCCTTCCCATGAAGAGACTCTAGTCAATATTAGGAACGCACTTATGCATGTAGAGATCGGATCTGGTATAAAGAAAATGATACTCTGGGGTAACTTTCTTCATGAAATGCGGGGTGCTAGGATATATCCCTGTCTATGTTGATGCTACATTCCTGGGGCATCTGCCCCAATGAACTGGAAACTATAAATGCAGGGTCTTCTCTCGGTCGTGACCTTTACGAAGATATCGACTACTCCTTTAGTTCAAAGGATAAAGCATCTCTCTCTTCTGCAGAAACAATGCCAAACGTTGCTACTTTCCTAGGACTGGCCATGTCCGGAGCAGCGATTGCATCCGCCGCAGCGCTGGGTGCATACAACGTAGACCCGAATTCAATTTCCGTCTCGGGGCTCTCCAGCGGAGGCTTCATGTCCGCGCAGCTTGGAGTTGCATACTCTGATACTTTCAAGGTCGGGTTTGGGGTCTTTGCTGGAGGCCCGTATGATTGTGCTCGCGGCCAGTCGGTAAGTCATTTTTCCAACATCCCGGAAACAGACACTTTCGAGTAAACGAATACGCTGACGCTTGACAGTATACTACATGCATGTACAATCAAAACCCATCCATCACAGCCCCTGTCGCCAACATGAAGAGCTGGAGCGGCAACAAGATCAACCCAGTCAGCAACCTCGAAGACCGCAAGATCTACATGTGGACCGGAACCGCCGACACAACCGTCGGTCCGAACGTGATGAGCCAGTTGAAGGCGCAGCTGGCGAACTTTGACGCTGCAGCCAACGTCTCGTACATCACGACCAGCGGCGCGGTGCACACCTTTCCCACTGACTTTGATGCATCAGGGGACAACTCGTGCAGCTCGTCTGTGTCTCCTTATGTCAGCAACTGCCAGTATGACGGCGCAGGGGCTGTCCTAAAGTGGATGTACGGGACGCTAAATGCTAGAAACACAGGCACATTATCCGGTTCCATTGTGTCTTTCAGCCAGACGGGAGAGTATGGCGCCAGCGGGATGGATACCACTGGATATCTCTATGTCCCTAAGGCATGCCAAGCTGGGTCTTCGACGGTATGCAAGCTGCATGTCGCCCTGCATGGCTGCCTGCAGAGCTACAGCATGATTGGAAGCAAGTTCGTTTCTAATACCGGGTACAACATGTGGGCGGATACCAACAACATTATTATTCTTTACCCGCAAGCAGTGGCGGATAACACCATGCACACCGTTTGGAGTGGGATGCCGCTCCCCAACCCGAACGGTTGCTGGGACTGGGTTGGCTGGTATGGAGCAAATGCTGACCAGCTCGGAGGTGAGTTCAATGAAGCTCGTCCAGGTCAGACCTGTTATTGATCACTGACTTTGTTTAGGCGTGCAAATGGCTGCGATTGTGAACCAAGTGGCCCGGATTGTCAGTGGCTACGGGGCCGGCAGCAGTTCCTCAACAACTACTGCTACCCCCACGACTACCACCGGCTCTAAAACAACAACTACTACTACTACAGTCACCACGACCGCTGTTGCCCCATTGTACGGACAGTGCGGTGGACTCGGCTGGACGGGTCCGACGGCTTGTGCCACTGGTGTTTGCACGGCCTATAGCCCTTATTATGCCCAGTGCCTCTTGGTAGTGTAGGCATTCGGATTTGAAAGCGAAATAAATGGGACGAGCTTGTGCTATCTAGCCTAATTGATGTTGGCAGAGCCTGTCTCCGCGATCTCATCCCTCCTGTAACATTTAGTTACCTGTATTGAGGCCCATCCAGGTCAAGTCAGCAATCAGGGTTAAGTCGTCGTGATCCATGACCACATCCCCCTCTCCTTTCTGCTCCTCAGCAGGCCGGAGGAATAGCTTCTCAAACCCTACGACCAGGGGAGCCCCAGTGATATGCACTGGGGCATCATCACCCTCCCTGGTCATAGTCACCTTTTGAACCACCTCAGGCACCGTTTTCCCCGGGTCGCCTCTTGTGGGCCGGCTGATCGCCTCCCATTTGTCAATCGTGATGGACTTCCTTTTCTTCTGGACTGCAAGGGTAATAATAGTCTTCAATTCTCCCCCGGAAGCGTTGAGCCACCAGCGCGCATCATTGGTCAGTTTGCTCTGGCTCTCCGAGAACGCACCCTCGATCACTACGGATGGCCAGTGACCGGAGTAACCGGCTGGCATATTCACAGGCTTGTATGACTGGTCGGGCTTCTTAGTTCGTGTGGGAGTCACCACATCGGCCCCTATAAGCGATCGCAGCTGAGAGCGGACATTCATGTTCAAGAGCTTAATGATAAGAGTATTGTGGAGCTCGGCGTGCGCCTCTTCGTGAACTTCGGTGGCTGGAATTCTGGCAACAAGGATGCGATTTTGTGGAAAGAAATCACTGTATGAATGGCTGTTTGGCTCGTCGAAGTCTCGTATGAAGGTCTGCTCGTTGATATTGGAGAAGATCACGTACTCGTGTTTGCATTCCGCTGCTTCTTTGTAGATAATGTCCTGGAAGTGTTGCATGCCCTGGTAGGGATATTCACTTGTCGTGGGACTAAGCCCAAGGGCCTGGCGGCTGATGCTGTCTGTGTTCACTGCCATTTTCATAAACCGTATTCGCTTCTTGCTGGAAGAGGAATGTAGGGAGCTTTAACTACGAGAGGTTATGTATGTAGACATATACACTGTCGACAATATTAGAACCACTTGAGTAAAAGGTGTCCAGATAACCATTTCTAGGGCAGTAGGAATAGCAATGTAGGATGTTCAACATACATTTCCATCTACTACCCTCTGGTCTGAATCCCCAATATCTTCCTGATGATACAGCTGATTCAGAACATGAATTTTTAGTCTTCATGCTTCTAATGACCTCACCATGATGGTATCTTCTTACCTGATGGAACCGCTCTGTATGAAATTACTACGGAGCAGTCGCACATGGCATAAATTGTAGAAAACTGGAAGAATGTGCTTCTCATGCTGATAACTTAACGAAGAATATAGATGACTATGTATACGGCCCCTGAATCTTGAATTTCTCCTGGAACCCACTTTGCACATTAATGTATTTGCATAAGACATTAAGATCTCCGGTCCAGCTAGTACATTTGGACAATATGCGCTAATCACATTTCCAGTAAGCTTGTATAGATAGATAGAGCCTGCCCTCCCAAGTTGGACCAGTGCAGTACATACTCCGTACCAGGCATCTATATCGACTCAGCTCTAACCTGAGGTTCCTCGGCTTGCGAAGGATGAGACAGAGTTCCTGCTTCAATGTCCGATCGCCCGTGCTTTGGTGAGGAGTGTCTCTGTTGCACAGAAGAATTCTGGGTTCTGTCACTGCTACATGCTACACCTCTCGCTGTGTTCGATACCCTGTGGCTAACGTCTCGGAACCAGCGCATGAGTGGACGGAGCGTGATGAGACTTCCAGCCGTGATGCCGAGACCGGCTTCGACGTTCGACGAGATAGCGATACCAACGGTCGCATCTGGAAAAGACAGTTATTACATGCTTGTTTGACTCTCATCGCGCAAGACTGACATAGGAAGTCTGGCTTTTTATAGTCCGGGAGAAAGGGGATACGGACTGCGACGGCAGCACCTGCACTAGAGAGCAGTCAGTATGGGTCTCTCCTCTTCGGACTGCCGACGTACATGCATCCCATGCTGAGAATGACTCTTAACGCCCATTTGGACCTCCAGCTCATCTGCAGGTCCTTTAGAATATATAGAGGAAAGAGTCCAAGGGTGAAGTCGCAAAGACAGGCTGTCGCACTATAGAGGTACGCAATGTCCACTACATACTGGGTGCCAATGCAGTGTCCTCTGCCCGTTCGTTGCCAGAATTCTTGAACCGGATGGCACTGCAACGTCAGGGTAAGCCAGAAGGCGAGGCCGACAGTGGCCGTTAGACCAATTACGAGATACATGACGGCTGATTGGCGCCGCTGGACGGTAAGACGGAGAAGCAGCATTGCGATGGAGATTCTTGCGGTTGCCACGACCCAAACATAGGCGCTCTGCCCGAGCCACCACCACTGTCCATGTAATGTAAATGTCAGGGTAATGGGCAGCTTTGGGTGCCGCTAGAACTTACCATCAGAGCCGTGTGAATATCTTCTACCGAGTCGAACTGACTAAATCTTTTCCCGAATCCAGCAATTGAGCCAGCCAACCCGCATGTTGCAAACCAGATATTGAATAGCTGAGTATGAGTATCAGTTGTTCTGTCTATTGTCGAGGGTCGTATCAGCTCACGTACCATGGCCAATACCATCAAGCCATCATCCCATCCAAAGGCTTTCACGAGTCTCAGCCGGACAAAGCACCGCAGAGCAACGGCAGTAAATGATAGACACAGGAACAGCAGGGTGACAGCGAATAACGCCCTACTGCGACCGTTCAATGCCATTTGAGTCAATCAGATATCCATGCAAGTCAAGTGTCGTCACATGATAAATCAATGCGGTATTTGCAGAATAAGTCTCAGAATCCTACAGTCCCGGTAGTGCATGTCCCAAGAGACTAAATCTGAATATGGCCGTCATCAGCAGAAGAAGTTTGAAATCTTCTCTATGCTGAGGAGCACAATCCCAAGACTACCGGAAAAGCACACACCGCGTCCGCGCTTTGATAGGAATGTTGGAGAGTGTAACCCGCTGATGAAGGTTTCAGACTTGGCGATTGGTGGCGGCGGCGAATTCGTTGGATGCCGCTTCAGACCCCACTCCATGGATCTGGAATCATCAGAACCAACAACAATTGGACGGAAATACTATGCGTCTAATGACCGGGCCTTAAGAGAAAATATATTATATACGGGCCGAATTGGGTAGCTATCAGTAAGTTATTAGAGGTTGTATTACACATAAATATCAAATAAATAGCGTATTGTAATGGATGCAAGAGTCTTCCCCAAGCTGCTGTGCCCTTCTGGTTGTGTTAAGAATAGAATTTTATCACTGAATACAGGGTCTTTCAGAGCATTAGAGGATAATGAGCATATAAAGGCTGAAGAATGGCTGCTAACAGTCTTGTTAGAGTTACCGATTAAACCCATGCCGCTTCCTTTAGTCGGGTCTTCTTGCTATAGAAGAATTGGCAGTGGCCACAGTGTGGAAGATATTTAGGTGAGAAGAGAAAGCTCTGATTCTCACTTGTGTCCAAAAGAACAACCTTATACTTCAAGATATCTGCTGTGCCAGCGATCTGCTGCCGATCATATCAGGGACCTCCACAAGCTGTGAGCGAGAATAGTGGGGCGGCAGGTTTGGTTGGATACAGTCAGTTCACGCCGACACTTTGTTAACACGTCAAGAATCCCAATTCTTTCTAAAACTCCCTTCTGTTCAAAGCTAATACTGCTACAGCCTTCGCTAAAACACTCTGTGGGCTATTGCAAAATATGACTCAGAGAGGTCGGCCTAGGGCAAGCGGCGCAGGAAGTCCCTATAGTCTAGGCTGAGATGCAGTCCCTTACGCGACGCTTAACTACTCCACCCATATGTTCCAACGAATGAGGGCCAGTAAGGGCCGTCAGTACAAAAGGACGATGGTCTAGGGGCTATGTTGCGATGTACTTATATTAAACCACCAAGCCCTCCTTAGTACTCTGCTTCTTCCTCTTCAACGTTTCTTCAATTATTTTCCTCAGTCAAACATCATGTCATCTGTTAGCAGTGTTCTCATACGCCGGGGCGCCGAGTTGATTTCCGCTCGGCTTCGAGACCGTGGTCAGTCTCCAATGCATGTATGGCTAGAAGCCCTAGGCCTCCCAATTATCATTTTTACGGCCGTTGTATTTGGTTTCGCAATTTTTTGGGTGAGTCGGTATTAGTATTAGAAACAGCGACTATCTAAACTCATCGATAGGTTCACTACACCTGCATTGATGTTATTGCGACTCTGGCCGCCGTCGAAGACTCCAACCCGAAGACGTATGTTCGCCTCGACAGCGAAGATTCTCACGATTCCTTCGACCCTAATGATCCCGAGGTCGCTGCTGCATCAACCACTAAGCCAATCGCTAGCGGGCTGCGCTCGGCCATTAAGCACCTACGCGCCCGTGGCGGGTCGTGCTTCCGTGGATTTCGTATGTATCTGGCCTTCACGGGGTTCGATCTGGGCGCGGGTCTTCTAATTCGAGGAATTGTTGTTATTCCGATCCATTCTGTCTCCGTTTCAATTTTCAGTACATTTTTGAAACAGTTCATCGCTAGCATGCCCTTCGCCACCTGGCAGATGGCTTGGGTTCATCTTGTGATCGCCGAAAAATCTCCTAGGAGCTCCTACCGGCGAATGCTTGGCCTCCGGCATTGGCCTAGAATCGCCCCTGCGGCTGCTTTGTACAATTTCCTAATGTGTGCGGCCTCTCTGCCTATATCTGCTGCAGGGCCCGCTGGCTGGGTCGCCATGATGGCTGCCCCCTTTGAGGGATATAAAGGGCTTCTCCTTGTCCTAGCCATTAACATTCTCCCGGTTGTATTTCTCATATTGGCTTCTGTTCCCGCCAGGGGGATATTCGCTCGTGTGGCTGCCTCTATGCTGCCCGAGGAGGATGACCCGATCGTGCCCTTCGACCGCCTTTTTGGCGGCAAGGTGAAACCCGAAATTGTGGGTGGTAGTGGCAAGCTCGGCCTCAGAGATGCCTGGACCACCTTTGATTGGCCTGCTCGCACTCGCTTTGTTAAGGTCATCCTGAAGGCTCTTGCCATTGAGGTTGCACTATTTGTGGTTGGGATGCTTCTAATGCAGGGCGAGTTGGCTCTGATCTATCTACTAGCCGCTTAGTTCTTTGAAGTTTTATATACTTTCTTGTTGTTCTCAATCGTTCTGCATTGGGCCGTCGTGCGATCAATCAATGCGGCAGAAATCTGCTGATGATTCACAGCTGTGCAAGATGTCGGCCCATGTGAGTCTGTGTTCTCTTCCCTGCTTTATTATCTGCTCCTGACCCGTACAGGGAGATCGATTTCGGCCTCTGCGCTATCAACTTCACAACGAGAACAAAGGCTCATTGCGAAAGACGAAGCGCAGGTCCAGAATGGCCTCCCTCAGTTTGCCGGACGATTTTGAGGAATTAGACCTCGAGCGAAAGAGCGAGCTTTCAAGGCGACGGCATTGTCCACCCAGTCGAAATACTACGAATGTCTTGCCTTGAAGACAACAAATATGTGCACCAGGCAATGAAGCTTGACCGGAGCTATGGGAGCCGTTTACGTCTTGCCAGCTTTTCTTGAACGGTAGTATGGTTCCACAGCGAAACTCTGTGACATGCATTTCACAGGTCTAGGCTAGATTGGAACTTCCAGGAAGCTGTCCCTTTGCGTTGTCTGAGAAGGTGCTGAAGATGCACAATGAATAAGTAGCAAAGTATCAGGACATGCGTTACGCGACATTTTGAAGGCCCAGCTCGCACTGATGACAAGGGTTGGGTCCATATGGAACGATGGAGGAGACGAACATGATGAATAGATACCTCTTTGACATGTATATCGAGACTATGAGTGAGAAGCTATCACCAGATGCAGCTGCGAAGACATGGCCCTTTCCACCAGCCGCTTGCAGTGACACGGTCTAAACTCTTCCTTGCTTGTTCAATTAGACCAGCTAGCGCGGATACGAGCTCGCCTATATAGACGAGCATGCAAGATTCTCAGACTCAGAGAGCAGCCGCCACTTCCTACTAAACCACGGCGCAATCGTCCAAGCGCGCATATCCCACGGCTGCATAGCTGCAGAGTCGGACGAGCATACGATACCTCCCCTCTCAACGATATCTCGTTTAAACTCTACCGCGTCGAGGATGGATGGCGCAGTGGCAGCAAAGGTGATTGCTTTTGCGCGCAGCGTAGGCAGCGGGAGGAGATCAAGGAGCGGGTGATGCGGGAAGAGAATCTGGGGGAGAGTCGGGCGGAGATGGACTGGGATGGCTGGGCGAGTAACTGTAGCTAGGAGAGATGACGGATCGGCCGACATGGCGGTGTACGGGCGGTAGAAAGGCGAGCACAGGGACATGCAGTTGTAGCTGGAGAACTGGTCGATGCTGATCCCGAGGGCTGCGGCGTTGTAAACGCAGGCTGTGAGGAGGAGAGTGTACGTGGTGAACAAGGGGGGTGGAACGTTTGGTACTTTGACTCCGACGGCCTCGTCCTCATCGCGTTTGCTAGATGGATTACGAGGAGGAAAGAAATGATCTACCGTCAGCATTGCTGGCATGGTCTTCCTAGCTACGTCCATATTGTTTGCCGTCGGAGCATTCAGCGCAGTCGCGGGTCTCAACTCCCGTTTCAAAGCGGCCTGTCCCTGCTTTTCGGCAAGAAACTCTCTCCGCCGTTGTCCTGTTCATGTCAGCACGCTGCACAGCACACGGAACAATTACGGAGAACCCACGGTAAGCCCGCTGCGCGCGACGATTCTGGTCCCGTCGAGCGGGGGTGATGATCCTCTTTGACTTGGACTGTCCGTCGGGCTTTCGGGTAGATTGCATTATGATGGCATTATCATCCATTCCATTCCCTGTATGCTCTGCAGTCGCGATAGGAATATGTATGAGGATGGATGGTGGGGAGTGCGGGAGGAATAATCCACCGATGGCTTACGCCAATTGACCAATCGGAGTACACCTTTGGATAACCGAATAGCATCATACTGTGTAAGCCACCCAGTATAAGCCGGGCAGTCAGTCCAACAACAGCTCCGAGCTTATAAGCCAGGCAGCCAGTTCAACAACAGTTCCGAAATTATAAATACGTACAGTCCAACTCCTCATCATATCCCCATCACCACTAAACCACCAATCCACAACAATTAAAGATGTCCCAAAACAAAAAAATCATCGTCATCACCGGCGCCACAGGAATCCAAGGCTCCGCCGTCGCTCACACCTTCCTCCCCCTCCCAACCTGGCATGTCCGCATCATAACCCGCACCCCGTCCTCCCCCACCGCGCGCGCCCTCGCCGCCGCCGGCGCAGAAGTTGTACAAGCTGATCTCTCCGACCTCAATTCCCTCCGGCGCGCCTTCAAAGACGCAACAGCTCTCTTCCTCAATACAGATTTCTGGGGTCCATACCGCGCCACACAGGACACCGCGCTCGCATACGAAACGGAGATCCAGCACGGGCGGAACGCGGCCATCGCGGCGGGGGAGGTGTCCTCCCTACAGAGGCTGATATTCTCCACGCTCCCAGGGATGAAGGAACTATCCGGGGGAAAGTACGCGCATGCGCACCACTGCGATACGAAGGCGGAGATAGCCAAGATTCTGCAGGAGGAGGCTGGTCTGCGAGGGAAGGTGTCGTTTCTGGTGATGGGGGCGTATGCGACGAATGCGCTCTTTTTGCCGAAGGTGGTTGCGGTTGGCGAGGGAAAGAGGGTGTTACGGTTTACTATTCCCGGGACGAAGAGGCTACGGGTGCCGATTATTGCGGCGGAGAGTTCGACGGGGGAGTTTGTCAGGGCGATGGTTGAAAGTGAGAGTGAGACTGGGCAGTGGGTGTTGGGGTGTGATAGCTACCTGTCCATGGCGGAGGTGGTGGATGTGTGGAAGAGGGTGACTGGGTTGGAGGTTGAGGTTGAGGAGGTGGATGTGCGGGAGATGCATGAGCGCTTCGAGATTCCGTGGGAGGTGCTGGATGCGCCGCAGTTTATGGCCGAGTTTGGGTATACGGGCTCGCTCGAGGTGATGATGCCTGAGCAGCTGGAGATACGCACGAAGTCGTTTGAGGAGTGGCTGGCCGGTAGGAACTGGGAGGAAATGATCGTTAAAGCCGAGGAGGAGCTAGCTGGTATATAACTTCTAGTTTCATAGTTCACATCATTGATCAGCCTTTTTCCCCGGTTCCGGTTTCGGTTCCAACTCCAATCCTTGCGCGACAATCAGCTGCGCAATCGCATCCTCCGTCTGTAGGTACGTCCGACTGCCCTGTATGAACCAGAACCCGACAGCCACCACGAGCATCACCCCAAACACCGCAATCGCGTAGTTCATGTCCCCTGGCGCCGGGTCGGGGGAGCCAGGGAAGAAGAAGAAGACGGTCGTGATGGCACAATACACGATGCTGATCCAGTTGGCTGCCGTTCCCCAGCGGCCGAGGCGAAAGGGACCAGGCGGCAGCTGGTCCCGGCCCACAAAGAGCAGCGCTGCGATGGGCAGGGCGTACGAGATGGTCAGGGCGATGGTGCTGACGCTCAGGATCGCTTCGAGGACGGTGTTGGCAAAGAGATAGAGCACGCCCACGAGCGCGATCAACACCCCTTGCGCCCAGAGTGCGCGCACAGGAGCCTTCCACGCAGGATCCACCACCGTCAGGTACCGACTCCAGGGGAGACCGCCGTCGCGGGCAAAACCCCAGGTCAGTCGCGATGCAGTCGTCAGGATACTGATGCCCTGGCCGACGCCGTTGAAAATGAACAGAGCGATCAGAGTAGCGCCGCCCTTGAGCCCAACCGTCTCCAGCATCAGCTCGATGAACGGCAGTCCACTGGGCGAGTCAACGACCTTGTCCACATCCTGTATGCAGAACAGACAGACGACCATGAAGATGAACCCGGTGACGGCGCCCGACAGCACCGCCAGATACGTTACCCTCGGCGCGTTGATCCTCGGCGCCGGCATCTCTTCGACCATGTGGATGACCGCGTCGAACGCAGTCAGCCCATACGCGGCCTGTACCAGCCCAGTAAACCACACCACACCGTCGCTCCAACCCGTCTGGTTGATCCACGTCCCAAAGACAAACCGGCCCGGCTGAAACGACAGGTCGGCCTTGGTCCCGACGGAAATCAACAGCGCAAGCGACAGCACCACAAACAGCCCGGTGAACCACACCCCGACAAACCCATTCATCCACGGCAGGATCTTCTCCCGTCGACACCCCACCACATTCACCACCGTCAGAACCAGCACCAGCCCGAGATAAATCACAAACTGCAGCCAGCCCACCCCCGCGCCACCCCAACTATCATCAAACATGACCTTCATCCCGAGCAGAAACTCCGTCATAAACGCAATCTGCGACGCTGTGAGCGTCCACCACCCGAACGTGTTGATCCACGCACACAGGTACGACACGAACCGCCCCGTCGGCGTATGCCACAGCCTGTACACCCAGTACGCCTGCCCCAGTGCAGTAGGCATGCTACTCGTCAACTCGCCCAGCGACACGGCAACGCAGAGATTACACGCCGTCACCAGGACAAGACCCCAGAGGATGGTGATGGGGCCGCCGTTGCTGAGTCCGCTGCTGAGATCTTGCGCGAAAGTGGAGTACGTTCCTACTCAGCATTAGCATCATCATCATCATCCACTATACCCCAGGAGGCCTCAGGAGGGAAGAAAATACCTAGTACGCAAAACGCCAGCGCGAGCATACTCCACAGATCGAATTTGCGGGTCAGGGCCTGGTCGTGCCCCATGGTCGCGAGATCGCGCGCATCCTGCACGCTTTGGTCGACCGAAGCCGAATCGCCCAGTTTGATGTTTTCCACGTCCATCAATAGCAGTTATAGCACTTAGGGGATGGAATTGTGTGGTGATGGAGAAATACCAGGCATGTCCATTTCTGTTGCAGTGCAGTGCAGGTCTGCGTCATATATGCCCCTGGGCACAGACACTGACACTGACACTTCCCCTCACGAGAGTATGCGGGATATCAAACACAAAGATAGACGATACAGCCTAGATACTGACTCTGGATTATTGGTAATGAGGGATCATCATTCCGGTGATGATATTGATAACTGGCCCGCGAGTGATTTGTCGGCGGCGTCCGCGCAAATTCCGCAGTGCGCACCAGACTAAGATTTTTCACTTTGCGGGGTTAACCTTCTTCTCGGCTGGACTTCCTGACTGCGGTTGGTACTTGGTCCGTCAATAATATCCACTATAGCTGATAGGAGCTCAAATATCTCAGCTACCTTTCTCTCGCTTGTACCAGAGAAGCAAGGCGTATCCTGAAAAGGAAAGTCGACGCGAGTCAAAAGACTCTCCCTCAGCAAGCGTTCGCGATCTGCGTCTCGATCTAATCCGTACCTTACGCTCCAATGGTCTGGAGATGAAACATTTCTTCCGTGGCACTGATGAAAGTAAATGCGGGGTAAACATTAATTCGGCATATATATTAAGGTATCGTCTCCCATTCTCCGATCAACTCTCACTCACAACAGAACAGCACCCAAGGCAACCATCCCAGCCAGAACGGGTACACCCACACCCACACCCACGCCAGATCCCCCGCTATTATTCGGCGACGGCGAAGCCTGCGAAAACACCGCTGTCGTCGTCGGACTACGAGGGCTACTACTAGACGTGGTCTCGGCCTTGGTTACACTCGTGCTTGACGTCGAGACGCGATGAGAATGCGAGCCACTTTCCGTCTGAGCCTTAGTCTTGGTCTCCCTCTCACTCGACGTAGTCATGGCCCCGGTCGCGGTCGCAGTCGGCGGCACCGAAATCGCAGTAAACATCTGCTCCGTCGTGGTAGTAGCCGTAGCAGTGATCGTATTTGCAGTCTGTGCGCCCAGCGTAACAGTCGAGTAGGGCGTGTGGACCGTGACATGTGTAGCTTCGCCCGTGCAGCCCCTGCAACCATCAGCACTCGCATTTTCATATCCAAGAGAGAAAGGACGTACCCGAGGAAATTCCCACAACACCCGACAAACACATTCCCGTGGAATTGGCACCGTTCTGCGATTCCACAGCCCACTTGTAGTTATCCCTCGTTAGTCTAGCGGAATGGCGAAGGAAAGGGGGGACTGCTTACGGCCGCCGTTATCCAACGCGCAGCAGTTCATGGCGCATCCGTCGCCGCAGCATGACCCCAGGAGACACCGGGTGCCATCTCCGCAGCTTGCGCGTTTCTCCAGGGACCCATCCTGCAATGCGTGACGGGCGTAGAGGATCGGCGGGCTGAGGTTTGTGGCCACCGCCAGCTGGAAAACGGAAATGAGGGTGACAAGTGAAAGGAGCATTTTCAACGCAATCTTCGTGGTTTCTGCAATTGAAAGGTTTTAGGGAAATGACAGTGCTTTATGTGACAGGGGTATGGCTGCTGTGCTGTGTTGGACGGGGCAAACCTCGTATTCCTACTTGGCGGCGTCGAAGTCTAAATGGCACGGGGGTTGGGGATTGGATAGTTCTCTGCGATAAAAGCTCGAGCGTTGATCGTCTCGACCTGCTGACTCGCTTCGCTTGGGTGTTTTCAGCCTCACCACCATGAACTCGGGCTGTGACTTTTCGTTTGTTCTACAGGGAATACGACTTCAATATCATACGTGCAAATGAAAGCGTTCATTTTGGTATTTTTCCGGCAAAATGCCGGACTATCTCCGCAGAGCAAGTGACAGGAGCTTGCCAAAGTCAGGAGTACCTAGGCCAGTGGCCGGGTCCCAGCCTTCGGTGGCATTCCAGCTGGCATATGGCACAACAGGACTGCCATTGGGAGTACCGCCGAACCGGTTGCGACCATCGCAGCCCTTGCTGCCTCCGTTGACGATATCGTTGAATCCCTTGCTGGCCTTGCTATACAGCCAGGGGTTCAGGAAACCCATGACGGGCTTGCGAGCGCGCAGGCGGGCATCGTTCAGCAAAGCGACGATAGCGCTGAAGGCGGGAGCCGAGCAAGAGGTTCCGTCATACTGGTGCAGTGTCCCCTTGTCGAACACGGCGTAGTTCTCGGCTTGAGCAGCGACATCGGGGAAGGCACGGCCCTTGGGGTTGAACAGACCCTTGTAGCGAGGGCCAAGCTTCTTGAGATAGCGCTGGACCGCCGAATCCTGATAGGAAGGACGCTCCCAAAAGTCGGAGAAACCACCGGACGAAAAGTACACGGCCTCCTCGGGCTGCGTCTTGGTCGTGCCACCCACTGAAGTTACCCATGGGCAGGCCGCGGGGAACTGGGGAGGGAAGTGGGTGCGGTTGGTGCCGTCGTTGGTCATGCAAGCCGCTCCAACACCGGAGTCGCCCGACGAGAAAATGACGGAAACGCCGCGGCTGCCGAGCTGAGCGTACAGGTTGCAGACCGAGCGAGCGTATTTTTCAGGAATGGTCTACCAACGTCAGTTTAGTAATATTAATACTATGGGAAAAGCTGACATACCTGTTCATCCTCGCCATAGGAGGTGGAAATGACCTGAGGAAGCTGGTCCTGGTCCATCTTCAACACATTCTGCAGGAATTCCAGATAAGGCTCGTTGGTGTTGTCGTTGGGGTCGGGCTGGCTCAGGTCCGGGATGAGCAAACCCCGGCCACCGGTGCTGAACTCGGTGACAGGGATGGGGGAGCTGACACCAACGATGTACTGCAGGTCGAGATTGGCCTCACCACTGTCATTGGCGGAGTGCTGGTCGTTCAGACCGCCGTTGTACTGGATGACGCTAAAGTTCTGCCCAATGGCATATGGGGCCAGCTTCTCCTCGAACTTGGCCAGATCGTCGTAGCGGGCGTATTCCTCCAGGAAACTGGCAAAAGCGACCTTGCTGCCCCGCTTGGGGTCGGCCTTGTAGTCGCCGATGTTGTACAGATCCTTGAGGCATTGAGGGGTAATGACCTGATCGCAAGTGGAGGTGTTGCCGGCTTGGACGGCCGCCGACAGGATGTCCGCATCCACCTGCACGGGCCGACCGCGCAGGGTCGCCCGGTTGGGCTTGATCTGTCCGAAACGAGTGGTGGGCTGGACCATATGGACGTGCGACGCAACCGACTGGGGGAGCGAGTATGCCAGGGTTCTCAGACGCTCAATGTGGCCCACCTCGTTCACGTACCACTTGAAGTCGGCATCGAGCAGATCATTGGCCACGCCAACGGTTGTGCGGAAGTTGATCCAGTCTGCATCCTCCTCAATATCCTTAACTCCAGCGGACTCCAGCCAGCCACGGACGGACTCGACAGCCTCCTGGGTGGGCAACAGCATCCGCTTCATCTCGTCGTGAGTTTGAAAGTGTTTGCCATAGTTTGCGTGGTACGGATCGGACATTTCCAGGAGGGCGGTCTCGAAACCTTCGACGTCCTGTTGCTGCAGGGCGATCTGCAGGCGAATGGGATCGCTGTCACTCGGGGTGTGGGAGTATTTCCATCCTGTTTCGTCAGTCTCGTCTTCCTCTTAGGTAGTGATACGGGGGAACAAACCCTGTGGCACAGTGGACAGCTTCTCAAAAACCTCGGCAGCAACGGAAGAGGACAGGAGTGAAACAACCGCGAGCAGAGCTCCACGGCTCAGAAGCGACGAAAACATGTCGCCGCCAGTCAATGGACAGATTGAGGAGAATGGATGGGAGGAAAAGTGAGGGTGAAGAGCGTCAGTGAGGACTGAGGAGGTAGTAGGATATTTATAACAATGGCCGATCACTGATCGACTGCAACTCGTCACCTGCAAGCTGCATATCTGTTCCTACAGAGAACAGCGATGGTGGACAGCTCCATGGAGAGCCTGAACAAATCGGAAGACCGACGGGGTCCTGCTGGATCCAAAACATAATCGCCTTTCGATTGGATCTTCCCTGGCAGGAATTCCGGTGGTCCTGCAGAAGAGTTACATGGCGCGAGGGGGTGGTCTTGGTGTCTTGGAGTCTGGCTTATCAGGAAGGGGATCGTCAGGGGAGCTCCACTCGGGGGCAGACTCATTTCGGCTAGGACTGGTCCTAGAGATAGATTACACAGAGTAGATAGATAGCAGGCAATAAGCATGTGCGGGGATTCCGTGTCTGACTTGTCGTCTACTGAATTGATGAGGATGAACGAAGGAATTGCGTGATGTGGAAGTAGTTTTCCTAATTCTTACGGCGATTGTTTGTTGATGTTGACACTTTGAAGCCTTGGGAATTCGCCAAGACGGATCGCCCAATTAAGATGGCCACATGCAGGCTGCCAGGCACCACTCCCTTCTTCGTGCGCACTTGGTCTGGTGGTTGTCTTTACAGCGAAATCAATTATTGAGCTGTCAACAGCTATTATTGCTGTTATGAAGAATACAATCCTTACTTTGCAGAACGCGTACAATTTCGTATCTACCTCGGTCCATGGTCAACAGAAATGAACCCTTAATTACTCCGTCCCCAATTGCATCTGGCCAAGGTCCGTACCGCAAATTGCAGCATGGAGATGGAGGAGTAGGTAGTATCCATTATCCAACCCGAACAACAAAACATCGGCCGATAAGACGGTTCTGATAAGGAGAGATTGATGAATATGCCTATCATTGGTCTGGTCTTCGCAATTGCCAATATCTTGCCCTAAGCTTGGTCGCTACAAGCATGAGTGGTTGAGGCTTGCCGTAGCTTGCTTCCGCTAGACAAGGGACTATATTAACGAGCTTGGCATTAGACAATGGCAATTTGTTGGCACCGTCTCCTTTAGACTTTAGTATTATTATTCTTTTTGGGTTCTTTTGCTCCTTTCTTGGCAACCAAGCGGTATCACATGAACTTGGCGGAATCAGCTTGTAAACAGTTATATGTGGTCCGCAGTAGCAAAGACGGTAAGCAATATATATCTCCGAGTCAATAGCACAATGCACAACATGTGATATTTCTGGCTTGCATATCAATGTTACATGCTCTGGAATTCAAAATGGACTCTGGACCAGCCATAACACGTGTATCCGTACCCCAGAAATCCGAACCAAGGTTGTTCAACTCTCTTCTGTTTACCTGTCAACCAGAATGAGCCCATTATTTCCACTATGCTAGAAATGGTTGTCTAGACACCTTTTTGGCGTAGTGGTTTGATGGCTGACATTACCTCTCTTATCTTCCCTGGCTCCAGATAATAATAATCATGGCAGAGTGAGAAGAGCATCGACGCTCTCAAGCATCAAGACTTATCCATAGTCGTCAATGGGCAATGGACACAGTGTGAAGACTACATGGAGTCCATGTCCACAACATTCTCTCAGGCATCATACGACTTCCTCGTGCAGAACACTGTATGTAGAAACCTAATACCGCAGTACCTGATAGTGGCTAACTGACTTGCCAGTCTTGCATCACTGTCAACAACAGACCAACGGACTGACTCGTCCTCGGACCGAAGGATGTATCAGACATAGCCAGAACTTCTTGGCTTGAACCATGACACCATCGATGTCCTCAGCTCTTGGCTGGGCTGAGGCCAGAAGAATACGCAATCTTGGTCGCGTGGCTCAGACTACGTCTACCCAGGAATATCAGCTTGGCGCTTGGTGTATGCCATCATTGACTCATGAAGCTATCATTCTCTATGTAAGTATCGTTATTTCTACGAAGTCCGATATTGTGATGCTTATCTGATGACAAGACACTCGTTGTAGCGGCAGACGGACAGCTTCAGCACTGGATCCGACCGGCTGGGACATTCCGCGGTTACCGGGATATCCTCAGCCATGATCAGACACAACAGACATACCTTATCGTCTATAACACAGTAACAAATGCACAGCCACACACTCAGCATTGACTCCGTACCTAGATCGATCCTATCCTCGTGAGCTGTTGCCCGCCAGGCTCTAGGCTTGGCCACCCCCGCATCCGCCAGACTAGAGTCACTTAACTATGACGCACGCCACGCGCATCCAGCCAGTCCACATCAATTCATCAACAAGTAAGAGAGTACCATACTCCCATTCTCCCTGCAGGAGTACCTAGATGTAGATCATGATGTAATTATTCCTCAACACTGATGCGTATATAAAGACAAAGTACATCACCCACACCCCGGCCATTATCACATTCTCTATCCATATAGACTATCTCTATACAACCACAAACAATATCAAAAAGAACGAAGATACGATATAATGGACCTCCTCCAGAAATACGGACACCTCAAACACGACCGCAGAAAGTCCCTCGCTCAGAAAGAGGAAGCCGAGCAGCGGCATCACCAGACTCAGCAGGGTATGTTCCTTTTCGTCTTGTGTGCATTGTGCATGGCAGATGCTGACGATGTCGCTGGACAGAGATCAACGAGCTACTTGGGAATTTCGGGCAGTCGCATA